CAAGCGGTGACTTGGAAACGCTTCCTAAGTTTATACGGAAAGAACTAAATGGTATTAAGTTTTGTATTGGGTGGAGGCATAGGGCTCGAATCCTCAAATTTGATATTGAGGTCTCTGTTGGTAACTGGAATTGAGATATGGAAGTGGTTTTGGAAATGTGTGCTATAATTGTACGAAAAGTACTAAATTTGATATTGGGTGAAGTAAAAGAGGTGAAATTTGATATTGAAGCCACTGTTTGAAATTGTTTTGAAAAATGCGTACTATAATACTTCTTCGAAAAATACAAGATTTGGTATTGCATGTTGGGGTAGAGATAAAACTCTGAAATTTGGAAATTTGGCTCTGTTGGTGTCTAGGCTGGAGAGAATACTCCGAACACAATAGTCCAACGCATCGGTATCCGGAGATTTTGGTGGCCATTGTGCGCTGGAAATGAAGCGAGGAATCTCATTTTGGGTGGCGCGTGCTGAATGCGATGGTGCGGAGTCCTGTTGGAATGTCCAAGGTCTGCGGCCAAAATGCCAAAATGTTTGCCTGCCCAAGGGGTTATTACACCCCCCCCCCCAGTGTTTTCGCGATAATATTCGTTATTTATTCTGATGCCACGGTTGATTAATACGAGCGGAGAGTGACTATCGGCTGTTATGGCCAGCGCTTGAGTTCTGGTGGTCAACCAAAGGTGCACTTTTTCAGTTGACCTCTTTGGCAAGTAAACACGATCATTTTGTTTGTTTACAAACTGCTAGACAAGGAATGTTTTCTCATCGGAAAAAAAAAACCAAATTCGGCAGATCACCACTTTCGGCCAAGCGAAGTAACTCTTTAGCTCTTTTGAGTTTATTTTCTTTCTGTTGCGGTGTAAGTTCTTGCACTTTTCGGAATTTCAATGGCTTTACCCCGAACTCATTTGTCAATATTTGCCGAATGGAATATTGCGATATGTTCAGCTCACAAGCCATTTTTCGGCTATCTTCCGAACGAAACGAAACTGTGGGGCACACATTTTGTATCCATAAAACGAAACCTATTAATATTTTATATGTTGTTACTTTTCGACATATTTGTCAACAGAAATATCTGAAATTTACCCAATATAGGTCCACTTATGTATGTACAAAGTGTGGGTAATAATAACTTTTTGCATGCATGTTATCAAATTCTTGTACCTTTTACAAAGGTGTGGTTCGGCACCCAGAGAATAATTCTTCTAGAATTAATACATTTGAAAAAATAAAATATAATTATTGGAATGTTTTCTAATCTGTCACTAAAACCGTGAAAAGATCGAATATCGAAAACGGCGACCTGTGTTTATAATTATATGCCAGATACGATTTAGATTTTTCTTAAAAAAAAAAAGTCAGAAGAACGTTACCCTGTGATTTAAAAACTGTGCCTTTACAAGCTCGTGTGTTTCAGAAGTTTTGTGAAGAAATGGATAGAAAAGGTACTGATACGTTTAGTAGAACTATGGCATAAAGTATCAATATACCTTGGCGCAAACCCCAAACATATTGAACGCCAACAGAATGAATATTTCCAGCTTAAAATGACATATTTGGCGGGTTTCTTTCATGTTTGATAAACTGTTTCTGCAAGGTTCAACCTAATCCGTCAGAGATGAAAAAGCTCGAAAAGTCAAGTTGAATATGTAACTCATTTCTGGGCCAACTAATATGTCGACAAAAGCAAATGAAGAGCTCATTATCGGATTTTCGGTTATGGTCAATGTAAAAATATATAAAAATATATATTGGATATAGCAAACTTACTTGGACTGAATGTTGCTAATATTGAAATTAATGCTTAATCTATAGTGACAAACCATTGAGAATTCATTTGAAGTAGATCATACCACCTATCAACCTTTGGCTTTAGAACAGTTATAATTTGGTTTAAGTGGGAACTAACATATGGAAGGCATATCCAATTCTGAATCAATTTTCACCAAATTCGAAGGAGACATTTTTATCTTTTGTACCAAAAAAGAAGAAAATATTTACCTTCTACACAAAAAAAAAATCTTAAATTTCAAAGTTTACAGAGGAGGACCATTGCACAACTTTTCTGTCCCAAACTATTTCAAGGTCTCTATATGTAAACTCTACAAACCAACAGTGACCTCGATTTTAAATTTCAGAATTTCAACTCTATCCATAATGCCAATAACAAAATACAAAAAGTTATCGTAATCGGTGTCAGCTCTATCCCTTCACTCAATACCATTTTTTTCAATTAAGTTTCGAATAACTAAAGTAAGCATTTCCCAACCCGCCTCCAAATCTCAACCTCAGATAACAACACTTTTATAAATATCATCTTTAAGACGTTAATCACTGTTCCTTCAACTAATATCAACATTTGTATTACTTAGTATTTTTCGTAAAATCTCAATTCCAAATTTCCAAACGTTCCTCTAAACCGCGGTATCTATTCTCCTACAGTAATCTTAATTCCAAATTACAGGATTAAAGCCCTATCGGCTCACACAAACCAAAATTGGACCAAATTTATAAGAATGAATTTCCAAAACTTCCTACATACCCCAATCCTACACCCTAAATTTCCCAAACTACCTCCATACCTCAATCATACAATCCCATAGAAATATTATTTCCAAATTTCACAATTCAAGCCCTATCGGCTCACCACAAATTCAATTTGTACAAGTTTTAATACACATAAGTACACGTTTCCATAACAACCGACATCATACAATCCAATAGAAATCGAATTTCCCAATATCAGAATTTCAGCCCAAATCCTAATTTTTTCAAATGTAGTATTTAGTAAGAATTTCCAAAGCTACCTACATATCACTCCCACAGTAATCCCAATTCCAAAGTTTAGCATTCTATACTTATCGGTTCGCCTAAATACAAATACAGATAAATACGAATTTCCAAAACTTCCTACATAACCCAATCTCACACTCCAACAGCAAATTTATTTCCTAATTTCAAGATTCCAGCTCCATCGGTTCACCTAAATCCAAATTGTACCAAATTTTACCAAATTTAGTTCATTTTAGTACATATAAGTACAAATTTCCAAAACTACATTCATATCCCAATCCTATACTCCGACAGTAATCTTATTTTAGTGTCATTTAGTACACTTAAGTACAAATTTTAATATCTATGTAGTACCACATACAGTCCAATAGAAATCTTATATTAAAATTTCAGGATTCCAACTTTACCGCATCGCCCAAAACTTATTTTCTAACAAATTAAGTACCATTTAGTACACATAAGTACGAATTTCCAAAACTTCCTGCAGACCTCAGACCGACAGTGCAATAGTAATCTGATTTCCAAATTTCAGGATTCCAACTTTATTAGTTCGACCAAAATGTAAATTGTACTTCATTTAGTACCATTTAGTATACATAAGTACATGTTGCCAAAACTACCCACATACCCATTCGTACAATGCAAAGTAATCTTATTTTCAAATTAAAGGATTCCGGCTCTATCGGTTCACCCAAATACAAATTGTACCATTTAGTACTGTTCCTGCAAATAAGTACAAAATTTTTAAAATTACCTCCATACCCCAATCCTAGACTCCACCAGTAAAAATTTATTTAAAATTTAAGAAATCCTGCTCCATCCGTTCCTCCAAATTCAAAGTGAACTTAATTTAGTACCGTTAAGTAATTTTCATATTAATGAGTACATACCTTCAAAACTACCTACCTCCTCACCTCGATCCTACACCTCAACATTCATTTCCATTCCAAAATTTTAAGTTTTTAGCTCTATCCGTTCACATAATACGAAATTTTACCAAATATAGTACATTTTAGTACTTCTCGTACACTTATGATGCGAATTTCCAAAATCCCTTTGGTACATCCATCACTCACTCCCTTAGTGACCCTAATTCCAAATTTAAGAGTTCTATTTAGAACCATTCAGTAATTTTCATACCGTTCTAGTACGAATTTCCAAAAATCCAGTCTTATCTGACCCTTTTGAACCAAGAGTGACCCACACCCAAAATTCCAAGATTCTAGCTTCATCCGTTTCGTCTGGGTGTTGATGAATCATTAAGTCAGTCAGTCAGTGAATTACAGTCAGGACATAAGCACTCCCTGGAACATATTCAAATATTCAATATTCAGTATTTCAAAGGATTCGGCTATAATTTCTGTACAAATTGGCTGTAATTTGGGACTTTAAAGTGTAATTGGATAAAAATCCGCTGAACAAACAATTTTTGGTACAGGTCCACATTTGAATTGTCTGATTTGAATTATGTGGTTATAAAGTTTAGAAAAAAAAAATCCTTACAAACCACACAAGAGTTCTATATAGGCCTTGAAATATTACCCATTCAAAAAATCTTAGAGATGTTAAAACAACTACTTTCACAATTTTTAATTTTTTGACCATGCCATTTTTACTTATTTGAATTAAAGAATAGACGAGCTGAAAGCTTTAAGCATATTCCTTTATTTTGCCATTACGATTTTCCACCTGTACTTCATTTTTTAGTATGGGTATTAAGGGCATAAAAGGATACTTGTTTTACTTCATAAAGAACACGCATATGCCAGCCTTGTATGATAGATATGTACCAACGTCAACAGGTAGAGCAATAGTTACTTTACCACATTAGAATAATGAATTTTTATTACACCCTGGTAATGCCTTTTTTAAACATTGTTTTTTTTTAATATTTTCGTAAAACCCTAATATACACGTGCGGATGGAAACAATGTCTAAGATTTTTAAATATGTAGGTACCTGAAATGTTTACATTCATTTGTTATCACCAACATCATTATTTCATTCCGAAAGATAATACCCTCGCCTTACTCTCTTACCTAAATGACTGGGAAAAACAGTTAATCTGTTGTGTTTCTCCTTCCTATTGGATCTCAGATTTCAAATAGACTTCGTTTTGTAAAACAAAAAGACAAGATTCTCTTTTTATTCTCTCGGTGGAGGATATCTCACCAAAAAAGAAAAAGTCAATAAAAATAAGAGGATCACGACAAATAAATGACTTTAAGAATACAATATTTCTTCGGGCATCACATTGTTGTTGTATTGAAGTGCTAAAGTGCACCCGCCGCCACTTTAAAAGATTAATTACAATAATGATGCACTCCAGCACGCACGTAGCCGTACACATTGTCCACACACTGTTACACACATACACGTGAATATGCTGTGCACCAACCACCAACCAAATAAACAGTCTCTCATTTCTTCTTCCACAAGTTTCACTTGTTAATTGTCATTTTTGATTTAGTTGAACACCCAACATCGGCTGCAACGGATCACCGGATCAAAACCGTCCTCGTCGTTTTGTTTTAGAAATTGTCATCCTCCCTGAAGTGCAGATCAACGACTTTGCTTTGACTCTCTCGTCGATTAGACTCGAGAAATAATATCGGCACTGACAGCAAAAACAAAAAACAATAATCATTATTTTAATTAAAATAAAAACAGAAAAATAACACAAAACTTCCATAGAGTATTGTTGCTGTTGTTGTGATAAGACCGTTCGTTCTCTGTGCTATTATTATTCCATAATTCCATTTTACTTGGCTGTGTAAACAATTATTATTGTCAGTTCAGGAAGGCATGCTGCTGTAGCATCAGCCGCATCATCGTCGTCAACATCAGCACCGTGCCTGCAGCAATAGAAAAGAATTGTGCGTAAAAGTATTTTCCCCAAACCTAAAGTTTTGATCAACAGAATCTAAAACAATTATTAACTGATGTGCTGCTAATATTGGACAAAAATCATAAGACGTTGTTGTTTTCATACATTTAACACGTTCATCATAAAATTATGTCGGATACCTATGTGATAAATAATATTGAGGAAAATAGGTAAGTGACAGGTGATACAATTGAAGACAAGTGTTATTAAATTTCATTAAGTTCTAAAATAACGTCTAACATCGGTTTCATGTAGAGGAAATACTTCAGAGGAATTGTAAATCGAGTGAAACATTTAAAAAAATAAAATAAAAATAAGTGATTCGAATATAAAATTACACTGTTACATTGGATTAAGGTGGAAATGTAGTTAAATACTGGGAATTTTATGCAAAGATGTTCTCGCCTATTTTTCGGGAAGGAAAAGTATCAACTTTTATCAAAGCTGATATAATTCATATTCAAATTTGACCCAGTAAAGGCTTGGCAGTACAGGGCGAGATAAAAAACCTGCAACAAAGTCAAAAGCCATAATTTTTACATTTTTTTTAATTTGATTGAATGAAAGCAAAAATGTCGGAAATAGCATCAAATTTTAGAATAAGTTTAGATTTGATCGAATTGGTCATTCAAATGACCAGTAAAACCGTCACACGCTGGCCGAACGTTGCTCTGCGGTATTTTGGCCCATTCACGGCGAAGGGCTTGCTAGGGGTGATCGTCATTTTGGTATTTTTTAGTGCCAACCTTGCTTTCCAAAATACTCAGGACACAATAGTCCAACTGATTGGTATCCGGAGATTTTGGTGGCCATTGTGCGCTGGAAATGAAGCGAGGGTGGCGCGTGCTGAGTGCGTTGGTGCTGAGTCCTATTTGAATGTCCAAGGTCTGCGGCCAAAATGCCAATTTTGCGTGTCCAAGGCTTTAATACACTCCCCAGAATATTTTCGCTATAATATTCGGCATTTATTCACACCATCGCCATGACCGACGCTTGACTTCTGGTGTCCAACTGAAGGTGCACATTTTCAGCTGACCTCTTTGGCAAGTAAACACGATCATTTTGTTGTTGTTTACAAACTGATGTACAACGAACGTTTTCTCATCGGAGAAAACCAAATTCGGCAGTTCACCATTTTCGGTCAAGCGAAGCAACTCTTTAGCTCTTTCCAGTCTATTTTATTTCTGTTGCGGTGTAAGTTCTTGCACTTTTTGGAATATCAATGGCTTTCCCCGAGTTCATTTTTCAACATTTGCCGAATATTGCGATATGTTCAGCTCACGAGCCATTTTTCAGCCATCGCGACGCGGGTTTCGATCAAGTCGCTTCTTTACTTTTCGAACCATTTCTGCCGATGTTGCTGTTTTCTTCGTCCACTTCCTTGACATTGGGCTACACTACCAGTATCACTGCAACGAGCGATGATACAAACACAAAAGATTTATTCCTATTTAAATGCTGGAGTGGTCTAACGATAGCCACTTGTGGTTTTCCAACCAAATATAAAGAAATCACACTATCACGCTTGAATTCCATCACGAATAACTTTTTTCCTTGTAAAATTCTCACCAAAATGCTTTTGTACGCTTGTAAGCAATATAATGAGCTGTCTCTGGAATAAGTTTAACAGCTGTCGGACGAGTGGCTTTGAAATGACAGCAGTCTGAAGTTGGTTGCAGTTTTTTCATCTCACCCTATATGTCTACCCCACCGACGAAACGTTAGTTTTAATAGAATAACTCATCTTTTCTCAACCAAAACCCCAAAAATAGCTGACAACTTCTACGAAACAAATATATGTTTATTTTCACATTTCGATAAAAAATGCTAATTTATTTGATTTTAAATAAAGTAAATGTCGGTTACTGGTTCATTAGGAGCACCAATCCTATGATGTATAAAGTAAAAGAAGGACCATAAAACCTTTGACTTTGAAATGTTTAATTTCCTACCAAAAAATAAGTTTAATAACACAAGGTAGCTCATAGCTAAGACGCATGGTGTTCATCGTATATCTCAATTTGTCTTATATTCTTAGTAATTGAAATATAGAGCGGAGAAACAATGCATTCACTTAATGGATTAAACATTTCACAAACTCTTCATCACATAACTCTTCAGTTCGGCCAGCTTAAACGTCGACATCCTCCAGCTCCGATATCTAAATTCCTCATAAAATAAACCTATCCCAAAACGTAATCCGATTAAAATTTTTCCGTACGAATGAAGACCAACATATCCATTCCAGAGTCTAAACCTTCAAAATTCCTTAAATCGGGCAGTACCGTTATATGAAGGCTATGACAAAACGATTCGACGGATTCTAAAAACTTTTTTAGGAGTTGACGTCCTCAGTTAAAATTACCGTTAATTCCCTTGGAAAATATTATCAATCCTTCAATACCCGAATTCGGGAGTTACTGTTGCATAAGAGCTATACAAAAATGTGGACCGTTTTTATACAGAGTTGATGAAGTCAATGAGAATGAAGTACATAATATTATCTCCATACCAGTTGTGATGGAGTTTATTAAAAGTGCAATGTACATGGGCGAAATACCAAACGAAGGACTCATCTTAAACAACTGCAAAGCTATTTTCTAGTGCCTCCGAAATTTAACACATATGACAGCAAAATTACTGGATCGTAAGCTCACCGTAAAAATACAGTACATAAGTTATAAGCCGAACTAGAAATAGATTTTCATCGCTTCAATCTTTACCTTTTTTCTCCAATAATAGATAGTCTTGCCCTTCCTCACAACCTAAGAGGCTCATATTTGTATACCATTTATATTGGTGTCATCGTTATTCGTTCGCTTCACTTGACCTAGCCGACTCAATTGTTGTAGTTCGATAGATTTGTCTCTGCCGATATCGCATACTTCTTATCATCATGATCTCACTTCGCTAACAAACAAAAGATGTTTACGGCTTTCTACGAAAATACCATGACCTCATTTGGAGTATTCCATGTAATTGCCCTTTCAAACCAGTCATAAAGTATGTGCAACAATTTCCAGAATCCCTTTGTCATCTTTGGCGAAAATAATATATTACTTTCTTCTTACACACGTTTATCTCATTTCAATCATAAGATAGACCTCATAAATCGTTTCAATAACTTATCAAATTATTAACGTTTCTTTTTATTTTTAGTAATTTGTACGAAATATTAAAGAACTGCGTCAATTTTAAATCATACGAAAGTCTGCCAAGCGAAGACTACAACGACGTCGTATGCGAGCTACCCGAATACCCGAGCACAATTTACTTGGACAACTGCCAGAAAATGATATCAACCAACAATGTTTACTCTGTTAGCGGTAACATCTCCAATGGTAGTTATAGCAGTGAAGATTCCTTGGGTGACAATATCCTTGAAGAAAATGGACGAATATCGTTGGCCTATGAAAATTTACGCACCATACCCAGACGTATTGCTGAGAAATTTGCAATGCAAACTAAATTTTTAGATTTAAGCTATAATAACTTTCAGAATTTATCATTTCTGACATTTTTTGAAGATTTGCATACGCTGATATTGGATCGAAATACCAATTTGGAAGTGAATTCGCTGCCGTTTTTGCCTAATTTGAAAATACTATGGTGAGTGTGGGGATGGATATCAATGCATATAATGTTGATAATGAATGTTGCTTTTTGTTTGACAGGATCAATAACTGTGATATTAAAAATATTGTGGATTGGATACAGCGTATACGCTCACAATGTCCCGCCTTGGAATATTTATCGATCATGGGAAATCCAGGCACAAAAGAACCATTCAATTACTGTTCCCTAAATATATACACAATGGACCCTTTAATCCTACCTGCCGGAATGATAACCGATTATAGAGAATATATTCTACAAATGCTTCCCAATCTGGAATACCTTGATGGGATTTCAAGAGCCAGTCTCTCGTCTACAAATCACAGCATAACAAATGGTGGCCATATTAATTCGTCACCCTCGCCAGCAAGTTCAAGAGGAAATGGTTCATCGTCCCACAGTCGAGATAATCGTAAAATATCGCCTTCATTAAGTTTCAAGGATCTCTTCAGAATAAATCGCCGCAAGAAATCATACCCAAGTTCTTCAACCAACTGAACTTGAAGTTCAGAGGAAAATTTTCCACATAGATTAGTGACCAATGGCTCCCAGCACAAACACAAAAATATAAAATTGTTGCGGTTATCATGTTGTGCATGATGGACAACAACGAAGTATACGAATCTAGTTTGATACCTAGTAACTAGACTGCAAGTTACAAATGAAAAGTTGATTTATGTCTTCATCGTAGGTTTTTTTATAATATTTCTATTTGTTTTGTTTGTTTGTTTTTAACACTTCACCCATTCTTATCGTTAGTAATTCTTCCATTCTGCTTGCTAACCATTTTATTATGATTATTAAAATAAACTGCCATCATTATTATTGCTATTATTACTTAGCTTAAGTCCATTGTTATTGTAAATACTTGTATGTTGCTTAAAATAATGGTTGATAATAAACTATTGGTTCTACAAATAGGATTAATTATATGAAAATCATCAAAGCAATAATATGTTCGAAATAATTGCAACTGAACAAATATAAACACATATATACAATATTTGAAATAATTGATTTACTCTAATGCTTTCGGTATGTTAAAAACGATGGTCAGGTAAGTAGTTGACCTATATGAATTTGCAATTTACAGAGTGATTATAAACGGAGTCCTTTTTAAAAATGTTTGACTAATATAAATGAAACTCAAACATTTCTGTCCTATACCATTATATAAAGTTTAATATTTTCTTATTGTTTTGATCTTAAGGTTAAAACTTTATGCCTCCTACCAAGAACACTTTTAACCAAGTATAATTTCAACATTGTTTCCACAAAACAATCAATATATTTGTTTTTATTCCATTGTGTGTGTTCTAGTATTCGATTAAAAGAATGGTCACTTTCCGACGTGTGCAAGGTTGAAAATAAAAACAAACAATTTCTGGATTTAAATAATAAAATTTTCTTTATATTTGTTGTTGTTATTTCCATATCATAATATACGAAATACAAGCTGTCTAATACAAATAATAATAATCATTTATAAACACAGTGACCCAATATCAGTCATTTTTGTTCTTCTTATCTCTGGTAGATTTTTCCATATGGAATAATAAATAAACCAAAATTGAAGATAGAAGATGAAACCCAGCCATACCTTACCATTAAACGAAAACAAAATAAATGTTTTTTAAGGGAAAAATTTAACTACTGAACCAATATTATAAGAATTCAATATTGCTAATTATTTTATAACAATTTTACCGTAAAACTTGTTTGTTAATCGTCTCGTATGTATTATTTTTATTTTTGTTCAAATGTTTTTATATAGGTCTTAACGTTTGGTGATTTGTAGTCATTGTTTTCATCTAAACTATACTATAGACTTTTACGCGTACGTATTTTGTGTATGTGAATGTGTGAAATGTAATGTCAAAGAACATCGAAACTGACTACTGTTGCTGATGTTGTTGTTGTCTAACGTTATGTGGGGGACATTCATTGACATAAAAGGCTTTTATAAATAAATGCTCTTGGTGTTTGTCATCGGTCTGGTCAATAGGATTTGATTTCCAAATGACCAAACGCACTCTCTAGCGAAGCAATCAATTTATCGTTATTTTCTATTTTTGACACCGATGATGTTAATTTATTTGCCTGATCCAAAGCCCATTGAGCCATTTTGTAGGCTTCTTTACGTTTTGAACCCAGAGCTCTCGAGTTTGCTATGCTACTGCAACACTGAAAAGATTACACACAATTTATTAGAAGGCTTTTAAAAGAATATTTTCAAATCTGACTTACCAAATAAATACCATAGAGGGCTCTCAGATTATTAGGGTTAAGCTTCAATGCCTGTGAATAATAGGTTCTTGCTATATCAATATTATCAGCACCTCCCTGGAAGAAATAAAAAAATGAATTGGTTGAGAAAATTTTATTATATGGACGTTTACAAAGCATATTCCCAAAAAAATAGTGCAATAGATCTTTTAATAGTATTAAGGAACTGCCAAAAGAACCCTTCAGACAAGATTATTGGTAGTGCGATAAAAGGAAAAAATTATTATAGTTTCAAAAATTAACTATTTTTTTGTAAATTAGTTTTAAAGGACTACTAAAATTTAATTTTTATTTCGATAATTTACCTGAAAAGTTTGTGTATGGCAGTTAGTGATATTTATCGTTAACGGCAGAATAGTTAGAGAATCCCACTACAGGTATATGACGAAACCCGATTCAAATTGTGGAATCGTATTAGGATATATTTTAATTGTCTATAATTGACGAGGATATTTTAATTATATAATTGGTCAAATTTAAGATATAGTAAAAAATTTACGCTAAAACGAGTCTAATGTTGTCTTCTGGAATACACAAATAAGGTATTTTCCTTTAGAAAGCAAGAAAACATGCATTCTGGAATTGCTAGTCAGTTGTAATGAGATTTGATTTTGGAATGCTGTTCCACTATTGACACATTTTAAAACTGAAATCTCTTCAAATTTTAAAGTGAGTATGGCAGACCTGCCGCCAATAGGGTTTAACAACTTAAGAAACATTCATATGTTTAATTGTCTATGTTATATAGATTATAATGTACACTTACAACACCAACTCAGTTTTACTCCTTAAAAATATTTTTATCAAATATATTATTTATTCCTCACCATGGTAGAAAAATACAGGTAACAGCAAGTGTTGTTGTAAAACAATCGTAACAACAAACACATACAAATTTGTTTTTGTACGTAATACAAGTGTCAGAGTTATATGTCCAAAAATGTAAACAAAATAATTAGTTTTCAATAAATTATTTTAATTTCAAAAATATATATTTTTGGAATTTGGATTATTAAATTTAAAATGCAGAAGAATAGTTCCTCAATTACTTAGTTTGAATGCTTTCATACCATTCCCCTGAAAGTACAGTTGTTAGTTGTATGTCCTAATCTCTCAACACTTCTAGCAATCGCTAGAAAATCGTGGAAAAAGCAATTTTAGGAAACATGAAATATACGAATATGTTGCTTAATGTCCTTTTTAACCGCGGAAAAAAATGATCACATTGCCCTGCAGAGAAATTTTATATTTAAAAATGGTATTTTATATTTAAAAATGGTATACCTATTGTATATCAAGAAATGAAATTAAATCACAAAACGTCATATTGAGCTTGACACTAGTATTACTATAAAGTAAAATCAGCTGGGACTTGCTGCTACCTGTAATAATTATACCATGATTCCTCACAAAAAATCGGTATGCTCATGCCACAATTACAGAAGGTAGAACAAAGCTACCCCTTAAATACATTTTTTTTGTTTTGGGGCCCTTATTCTATTTTGTTTTGAAAAAAAAAAAAAAAAATACACTAATTTGAAATTATTTCAAATTCGGTTGCAAAAAATGCAAATGACGTTAATAGCCAACACATTGTACGGTTTTGGATAAAATTTTCCTACTATTTTAGATTATATCTAGTGGAATAGCCCCAACATTCCATTCTTGTTTCGCTGGTTTTCCCCAATATAAGAATTTTGTTAAAAAAAAATAAACACAACCAACTGTTGCAAATTTAAAAGTCTATTTGACACGATAAGACTCCAGCACAGAATTCTACTTTCTTTGAAGTTGAGCAACCATTCTTATTGAACCATGGGTATGCTAACTATAGGGAACATATCATGGTACCACTACAAACAAAAAATTACTTTTTAATCGATTTGAAAATTCCACAAATTTAGTAAAAAATTAAAAAGAAAAATCACAAATTTGGTAAAAATTATGTAAGAGTGTATAGAATTTCCAATTAGAATAATTTGAATTCAATGTAATATAAAATTTGGATTCAGAAAAATGGAATTGTGAGTATGAGCAAAACTTTAAAATGCCGTCTACTGACATGTCCCTTATTAAAGGGACGCGTGAAGTCGACATGAGATTCTTGAGAATCTGTAAGGCATTTTACGAATGGAATATAAAAATTAGAATACCCTAGAACAGATTTATGAGAGGAATTATAAAATTAAAACTTCATAGTAACTTAAGTAAATATAATTTTATCTTATCACGATTCTCCGTTCATGTCTTCGAAGTATGCATCGTGGAGTCTTTAAAATCTTTTTCCAAATAATACCTAACGGTAGTATTCCAAATACTACCTCATTGTCTTATGCAACTCACCATAGTATAACGAATTTCGGCTAGCCTTTGATGTATTAAATGACTGTGTGGGTTGTGCAAGAGAACTTCTTCCATACAAAAGGCAGCTTTGGCATAATCACCCTCAGCCATATATAAATTACATAGTTCATGCCAGGCTTCTTGATCAGACATAAATCTAAAATTACCCAAAAAAATACATTAAAATTTGCAAACGCAAGTATATCTACACTTTACTTACTTTTTAAGATATTCGTTAAGTTCTTTGATGGCATCAGTACGACGTCCTTTGGCTTTTAGTATGGCAATTTTACGCTTTCGGGGAGCAGCATTGGTTTCATCTTTGGCAATTATAGCATCTAAAACATCAATAGCTTCGCTATAACGTTCCATAGCTTCAAGTCGCATTGCTTTGAATTTCATTACACGCATACTTCCAGGGAATTCTTGGCTCAATTCTTTTATGCATCTGCCGGCAATGTCAAAACGGGACGTATCTAATGCAGCCACAATAACTTGTTCCAGAATCAAGTGTCTTTCGTTGCCAGTTTTCGATACTTTGTCCTCTAGTATAGCTTCCCATAGCTGAATAACATCATCACTGCGTCGTTCATTATCTTCCCTCCATTTACGGAAGTGGTCGCGCACATCTGTAATAGACCAATTGCAAGTAGGTCATGTGTAATATATTAAACAAAACATATTTTATATCCGGCCGCCGATTAATTTATTTTTATGTAGTGTACAATGACGTTGCATCGTTACAAGTGTTTCAAAGTTTCATAGGGGGATTAAGGGAGGGTGGAAAATATGAATGTAAGGGTTCTTTGAGTTCTTGTTGATGGTAAGATATTATGCTTATTTTCTTACCTCTCCAGCTCATTTCCTCGTAGTTCAAAGCCATTTTATTAAACAGAATCAACACAGCAGCAAAGTTTCATTAATTTTCAGAATAAAATGTGAATATTTTCTTTGAAAACCAAACCTCAAAACATTCAATGAAGAAACAGACAACGTAGCGAACGGATTTTTTTCAGCGGCGGAGGCTCATCAATTGTAATCCAAACGACGGCGGCGAGCTGTCAGCTGTCGACGGCGACAAAATTTCGGCGCAGCAGAAAAAAAAACTTTTTAAATAAATTAATTTATACCATCTTTCAAAATTGTAATAATTTGCTTTAAAACATCGGCTTGTAATATTTTTCTCTAGTTTCTTGAGAGAGACTTTCAATTAATGTTTAAAAAAGAACAGGCGGCACATATTTTAAATTTGCCTTTTTATTTCATAGGCCCAATTCAAACGAGAGTAATTTTTAGTCCAAACCAATTTTTTCTTTCCAAAACACACGAGACTAATGAAACTGTCATAAACTGAATACATATACACAGCTTTGTGTGTGTTAGTATTTTTTATTTATTTTGTTTTCATGAGTGTGCATGTATTAGTTTGTTCTGCTAATGCGGGGTTGAAGCTGGATGAAATTTTAGTCAAACCAAAAACGACTCTCCTCACTGAAAATGCCAACAAGCTAATTTGTTAGACAAAAACAATTACTCTCGTGTGAATTGGGCCATAGGGGTTTGAAAAACTACATGAGTAAAAAAAACTACTTACGGCCATCGGTATTTTACAGATAGAACCATGGTAGAAGAATATAGCGACAATGAACTGTCAAACCAATTTTGGAACAGAAGTTTTTAAATGAAAAATCATCAAAAGTTGTACAAAATTGGGCTCGTATAGGAAAACATATACAAATATACTTATTTTTGACAAAACATTTTAAAAATTTAGACATATCAATTCATGACACCAAGCTTGGTAGAAGAATATAGGTAGATGTATCAACGCCTGGGAACATTGATATGTCATTTTTTTTAATGTTTTATCAAAAATAAGTATATTTGTATATGTTTTCCTATACGAGCCCAATGTTTTCTTATACGACGCACATTGGAGGTTGTTATAATATAAATTTTTCAACAATTTTTACAAATTTCAATTATTTTTCATTCAACATTTTCAATTCCAAAATCGGTTTGACAGTTCATCGTCCCATCAGCTGCGTCGATGCGACTACCTGTATTCTTTTACCATGATACCAAGCATAGCCCAATTATAAGGTCGAAACTGTTCACCTACATATATTGTGAAAAGTTGTTATTAGAGCGAAAAATATTTTTTCGCCTTGACATTGCATCGAGTTAACAATTTGTCAGTTTTGGCAATAGGTTTATTAAACATAAATGTTAAGCATAAAGAAACCAACTTGGTTTCAGGGCAATCTAGCGGTAATTTTTGGTATTTTTACCACATCCCAAGTAGCCTTGAAGGTCCTGAGTACATCTTCAACAGCTTTCAATGTTCACGGATACAGGTTGAGTATGATTGTCATGCGCTTGTGACCCTGATGGAAACAATTTATTTCCCAATAAAGGTATGCTAAAATGGTGTTACAATTAGATGGCCTAGGCCAATTGCATCCTACTTCCTTTAAAGACACAATTCAATTTTCGCAACAGTTCAATTTTTTGTAATCACCCCAAGAATACCAGCAAATGATATGGGCTATATAATTTTTTAAAAATGTTGACCATTTGCGGGAAAAGTACCAATCTAATACAAAATGAATGAGATAATCTCGTCTCGTGCCATTAGGTACATAAGACAGGGATCTTTTTTAAACATTTTTATCATTTGTGGAAGAAGATACTGGAAGGGATGAGCCAATATTGTCCATCTACGAACAAATTCAAATAAAATCCTCATTGGGTTCTTTTTTAAGACATCAATGCAACAAACTTTCTTAATAACAAAAATAATTTTTATTATTTTTTTTAATGGGAATGAGGAAGAAATGGTTATAGTAATTGAGGACCTTTTGACTGATGATAACAACCCACCACATATTGCTTACCAAATTTGCCAATGAGTTTTTTGATGAAAGCTTAGATCAACTTTCCCGATATGTTTACGAACATTGATGGAATTTAATTATGAAATGGTCTGTTCAAGATCTGCAGGAATGTAAATGTTTTGCTACTATAACCAATTTCTCCTTTATGATATCGAAAAAAAACTGGAACAAAGCAATAGTAAACGTTTACCTTTAATTCATTTCTCCATGTTGTAATTAATACAAAATAAGATTAGTTTTATAAACAAATAAACAGCGACCAGAGGACAAGAACAATTTTACGGATATTGAACGCATCCATGTAGTCGCTGTTTTATCGAAAATAATTAACCCGTAAAATAGCTCGAATCTCTCAAGGCAACCTTGGTTTGTTGCAGGGATTATTTTAGATGAGCACGATATAATTATAATCAATAATTCGATGACAATTCTTCAAAATCAATATTCAATCAAATGAATGTGACAATCATGACACTATTTTTACATGGCTAAAAGTATCTAGTAAAAAGTAGTGAAAGGGATCAAAATATTTATCCATGGCAGAAGAATACAGGTACATGCATCAACGCTTGGGAGCATTGATATGTCAAAAAATTGTAAATGTTTTTCAAATATAAGTAGATTTTTATATGTTTTCTTATACGACGTCATTCGGAGGTTATTATAAATAGCGGTTTTCAACAATTTTTGCAAATTTAAATAATTTTTCATTCAACATTTTCAATTTCAAAATTGGTTTGACAGTTCATTGCCCAAGCAGTTGTGTCGATGAGTCTACCTATATTCTTCTACCATGTATTTATCTTTGGAGTAAAGCTGTTGACATTGGAATGCTTTGGCATTGTGTTAATAAGCATATACATGTATATTTTTGAAATTAAAATAATTTATTGAAAATTAATTATTTTGTTTGCATTTTTGGACACATAGCTCTGACACTTGTATTACGTAGAAAAACAAATTTGTATATGGTTGTTGTTACGATTGTTGTACAACAACACTTGCTGTTATCTGTATTATTCTACCATGACATTGTATATTCTTGATAAATCAGTCTGACAAGAGATATTATTTAGTAGACAGAGTTATCTTTCCCTAAAAGTTCTAAAACGCAGTAGTTTTTAGAACATTCAAACAAATAAAAATGCAAAACATTAAACAGAACTCCATTATTTCAGCTAAGACTGAAACCAATAACTCAACAATGATTTGGCACCACTGGTAGATTTGGTCAAGTTGAGAGAAATTTTTCGCATATTGTAGGAGAAACTGTTTGGTGGGAAAACTTTATTACGTATGGAAAAGCTGTACGCATTGATAATAGGTCGTATTTTTCAAATTTTCTATGTAAGTATGTCTTATCTATTTGTTTTACTTGGGGTTTCTACGATTTCCCATAATTGTTGTATTTATAACAACAACGTTTATGTAATAGAGGAGAAAGAGGGGGTAAGGCACTTTAACTTAAAAAAAAAACTTTTTTACCCAAGTGGCGAGATCGATCAGTATAACCCAGATGAAGTTTTTGTAAAGGCATTATAAGCTAGTATATTTAAAAATTTGAATGCGTCTGTCAAACTATGTTACAATAAGGGGGTAATAATTTTGTCCGAATTGTCCAAAAGTACATACAAGAAGTAATTCCTATTTATACATTTCTTTATTTTCTCATTTTAACACGTTACGTGAGAATAGAATGAATGCACTTTCCTCAAAAAATATGATTCAAGCTGTTCAATTTTCTATCAAAACTGGGTAATATCATTAATGTTTTTCAAAACAAATACACAAATTTGACAGATGTCGGACATACTCAGAAAAATATTGCAATCATATCGTTTTTTTTTTTTGTACCATATGCCGCACGTCCATATCACAGGTAACATTTGTGTTGTCAGCACTGTAATATTCTGACGTTTGGAAGCATTGTTATTTCCCGCCAAACGAGACACTGTATTGTTTGCATTGTGCGACGCGAATTAAATTGTGTTGAATTGCTCAAATATTGCAAACAAAAATTGCATATTTTTATTCCAACGCTAGAAGCGTTAAGATCGCCGGAACTGGTTTCACTTTTGTTTGTTTTCTCAATTGTTTGTGTGTTGTTATAAGTTTTTTCTGTTAAATGGCCGAAGCCGAGCAATACATCAAGGATATTCAACGTGAATATGTTGATTTCTTGGACGATGAAGAGGATCAAGGCATTTATTCCGGTCATGTGAAGGACATGATAGCTGAGAAGAGCAAACGTTTAATTGTCAATATCAACGATTTAAAGCGGAAAAATCCTCAACGGGCACTTGGTCTCTTGAGCAATGCCTCCGACGAACAATTGGCTTTTGGACGAGCTCTCAAGGAATATGTGTCAACAGTGGATCCTAGCTATGCCAAAGAAAACGAGGAGTTCTTTGTTGGTTTCGAAGGTTGCTTTGGTAACCGTCATGTAACGCCGCGTTCATTGACTTCGGCGTAAGTGGACTATTCAAAATATTTATTTTCTAGTTGATTAAAATAAAGATCAATATTGTTTCAGATTCCTAGGCAATATGGTGTGTGTCGAAGGTATAGTAACCAAAGTGTCCCTCATTCACCCGAAAGTTGTTCGCTCTGTCCACTATTGCCCTGCAACCCGTAAAGTAATGGAAAGAAAGTATACCGATTTGACATCGTTTGAGGCTATGCCATCCAGATCTGTATATCCCACTAAAGATGAAGACGGAAATTTGTTAGAAACTGAATTCGGCTTATCTGTCTACAAAGACCATCAATCCCTGACTATACAAGAAATGCCAGAGAAAGCTCCTGCTGGTCAGTTACCGCGCTCAGTTGATATTATATGTGATGATGATCTAGTTGACCGTTGCAAACCCGGTGATCGTGTCCAAATCGTAGGAAGCTACCGATGCCTTCCTGGTAAACACGGCGGCTACACATCGGGTATCTTTCGTACAATTTTATTGGCCAACAATATATCTTTGCTAAGTAAGGAAAGCAATTTGGATATCAGCCGTGAGGACATTATCTTGTGCAAAAAACTTGCCAAAAACAATGATATCTATGAATTACTTTCCAAGAGTTTGGCGCCTTCGATTCATGGTCATACCTTTGTGAAGCAGGCCATCCTATGTCTGCTGTTGGGAGGTGTGGAGAAGTTGTTACCAAACGGCACACGTTTGCGTGGAGATATTAATGTGCTTTTGATTGGTGATCCTAGTGTTGCCAAGTCACAATTGCTACGTTATGTTTTGAATACTGCACCTCGCGCCATTCCAACCACAGGTCGAGGTTCTAGTGGCGTTGGTCTGACTGCGGCTGTAACTACTGACCAGGAAACTGGAGAGCGCCGCTTAGAAGCCGGTGCTATGGTATTGGCAGATCGTGGCGTTGTATGCATCGATGAATTTGATAAAATGAGCGACATAGATCGTACTGCGATCCACGAAGTCATGGAACAGGGTCGAGTAACTATTTCCAAGGCTGGCATACATGCTTCTTTAAATGCTCGATGTTCCGTTTTGGCAGCTGCCAATCCTGTTTATGGTCGCTACGATCAATACAAAACACCTATGGAAAACATTGGGCTGCAAGACTCCCTGTTGTCTCGTTTTGACTTGTTGTTCGTTATGTTAGATGTTATCGACAGTGATATTGATCAGATGATATCAGACCATGTTGTGCGTATGCATCGCTATCGTAATCCTAAAGAGGCTGATGGTGAGCCTTTATCCATGGGCAGTTCTTATGCTGATTCTCTTTCATTCAGCACCAACTCGTCGGAGAAAAAAGAAACTGAGGTTTATGAGAAATACGATGCCTTATTACATGGTAAATCGCGCAAACGCCATGAGAAAATCCTTTCTGTTGAATTTATGAGAAAGTACATACATATCGCCAAGTGTATGAAACCAAAGTTGAGCGAGCAAGCTTGTGAAGCAATCTCTAATGAGTATTCCCGCTTACGGTCTCAGGAGAGTGTGCAAAGTGATGTTGCCCGTACACAACCGGTGACAGCTCGTACTTTGGAAACCCTTATCCGTTTGTCAACTGCTCACGCAAGAGCCCGTATGTCCAAGACAGTTACTGCAGATGATGCTCAAGCTGCCATTGAACTTGTGCAATTTGCATACTTCAAAAAGGTTTTAGAAAAAGAAAAGGGTAGCAAACGTAGACGAGCTGATGGTGCATCCTCGGATGAAGAAACAAACAATGACAATGGAACAGAAAAATCGCCATCTCGTCGCAGCAAACGTAGTCGCGTGGAAACAACCCAAGATGCCGCAGCCGACAGTGAAGATGAAATCGAAACACCTCAACCAGATGCTGGAGATTTAACACGTCGTGATACAAGACGATCCATTTCTTCGAGAAAACCTGCCACAAATGGTACCACTCAATCGGAGTCCTTGGCCTCGTCAGGAGATACTTCGACTCCAGCAGTTTCTACGCCGGCGACCATTACTGATGCTCGTCTTGTCGTTTTTAAGAACAGTCTTCAACGTCTATTCCGTGAAGCTCGTGAACAGAGTCTATCGTTGGCGCGTATTACCGCCGCCATTAATGAAAACAACGTCGAGCAATTTACAGATGGCGAAATCGAAGCCGCAGTAAACCGAATGACAGAAGATAATCAAATTATGGTTGCTGATGGCATTGTTTTCCTTATCTAAGTTAAGTTTCAAAATATAACCTTCATTTTTACGCATATACCAACCAACGAACCCAAGAAAATTTAAAATTCCCCATACAAAACTCATTTTTACAAAAGCATTCTAACTATGTTATAGATTTGAAATATCCTTTTTTCTTTTGTGTTTAATAAAGGATTTTTTACATACTTATAAAATAATGTTTTCACTTTTTTAAATGTCTGTTTGATTTGAAAAGGTTAGGTTTTTGGGAATTTTTGTGTGATAGAACCTATACACCGAAGATTATATCTATATCTATAAAAGAGGAAAATGTTTGTATGTTTGTTTGTTTCGAAAACTGCTGAACAGATTTTTCCAAGTATACTACAACATCGACCGAAAGTTCCACTTGGAATTGGAGATATAGCATCATAATCAGAGGTTCCTCCCAAAAATTTAGATTTTATATGTACGTATCTATTGATCGATTACAAATACAGTCTCCAAATTTGGAATGCGTAACTTAAATTTAAGAATTTAAAACAAAAATAAATGTGTCAAATTCTTTTGAAATCGGTTCAGATTTGGATATAGCTCCCATATACATTTTCTGCCGATTTCATGTGTTTGATGCACAAACCCTCTAGGTATCTCTAATTTCAATGAAATTTGGAATGTGTAACGAAATTTCAAACGAATATACATTTGTAAAATTATATTGAAGTCGGTTCAGATTTGGATATACCTCCCATATATATTTTAGACCGATGTCACATATTCGATGCACAAAACATGATACGTATGTCCGATTCCAATGAAATTCGGCATAAATTTGCCAATTTATATTGAAATCAGTACAGATTTGAATATAGCTCCCATATATATTTTGGACAAATTTCATTTATTTGATGCACCAAACACTATATGTTTGTTCGATTCCAATGAAATTTGAAATTTTTAACGGGATTTTGTTCCGAAAATAAATAAGTCAAATTATATTGAAATCGGTTCAGATTTGGATATAGCTCCCATATATATTTTCGGCCGATTTTACATATTTGATGTACCCATCGCGATACCTATGTCCGATTCCAATGAAATTCGGACAGAGAGACGAAATCTGGTACCAGCTCCCATATAAATATTTCGGCCGATTTCATGTGTGTTATGCACCAAATACAATTTATATGATCGATTCCAATTGAATTCAGAATATGTGTCGGAATTTGGGAATAATAATAAATTTGACAAATTAATTAGAAATCGATAAAGATTTGGATATAGCTCCCATATACATATTTTCGGCGGATTTCACATATTTGATGCGCCAATTTTACTAAAATATGGGCCAAAATATGGAAATTATGAATTCGCATAAAATTGGATATAAAGATTCGATTGACTTGTATTTTTTCACTCCGATATATTTATCTGTATTACGTGAAGTATGAAAATGGAATGTTTCGGTCGACTATACCTGGTACCTCACGCACTTTTTAACATATTCTAAAAATTATCACATATCTCATATAAATTGAAGGAAGTTATCAATAAAGTTCAAACCTGGCACGTCGAAATATTTATATCATATGAGTTTAGGTCTAATACAAAATGAACAATATTGGCCCATTACTTTAGAACCTACTGCATAGAAAGTCAACAATTTGAATAATCATAACTCAAGCCAAAATATATTTTAATAATCTGTCGGCTACACCGAGAGATACTTTTTAACTTATTTTACTTGTTTTATCTAAGGAACAGTCCTATTAATATTGATCTGTTAATTTGGTAAAAATCATTTTAAAAATCGTGTCGTTTTTCTGTTTTTATGAAGATAATCTTTTCTGAAAACGACTACTTTTGCGTAAATGTATTTTGATCTTGTTTTCTTTGTTCTGTTTGTTTTTACAGGTAGGGCAGATTGATTAAATTTGAAAAACACAACAATGATTTGAATTTTTTGTTTTTCCGTTCTTGAAAAACCAAGGAGTGCGAGTGCGATATCACCGGCTCCAATGATTTAACAGCTTCTTTGACATCGAACATTTTTAAATATTAGATAATTAAGCTCTCCTCGAATGGCAAAGAATAAAATTTCAAATTGTCGATAATGTCGATATTCAAATATTATTTAAATAAATTTCAACATATTTAAACTAAATTTTTGTAGTTTATCAATCTAGACCAAGTGGCAATACATCTTCTCTAAATCTCAAATTATCTTTCAATAAATTGGTCAATGATGGATGCCTCACAAACAACACAACTTCGTTTTTTGAATAAGCCCAAATATTTAAATTGCCGTTATTTTAATGCAAAATTTTTATAAGAATTTTATAAAACCGATTCTTTCAGCTTGTGTAAAAGTAGACTAATGTGGTATTTAAAGCTGTTATCGTATGCAAATAAGTTCTACATTTTATAGTAATACCATGTAAACAATGAAAAATGCGTTCTATTCAATAAAATTAATAATTCTATTATTAGACAAAACAATGGCTGTATAGAAACGAATCAGTGGTGGGAATCAATCTCTCACGAGTGGCGTTGGATTGACACAAATAAACTTACTTTCTTCACCTTGATATTTATCTCTTAACATAAATACCAAAGGCTGGTAGAGATTCGTGTTAGAAAGTCACAAACATGAGAAGGCTTCACATATTAATCTTAACAGGTTCGTTGTGGAATTATTTTATAAAAACATACATTTACTAAATCGATTTTTATTGTTCAGTTGTTTCATTACAAGGATGTCTTTGTCAAAGTATTCGAGCTAGTATAAGGCCGATTCGGATTGGATCAAAGGCCGTAGTCCTGCAGACAGTGGACAATAGTGACGATGTCGATTATCCTCCACCACACTATGGATATTATCCACCATGCAAATGTCCTCCCGGACCACCCGGGCCACCGGGACCACCTGGTCTTCCGGGTAGACCCGGAGCTCCTGGGTTTCCCGGGCCCAAAGGTGATACTGGTCGTCCAGGCCTGCCGGGACATCCAGGCAAGGATGGTATGGATGGCAGACCTGGAGATAAAGGACCTCCCGGACCTCCTGGCCATCCTGGAATGCCAGGTCTTCCAGGTCCACAAGGACCGCCAGGTGGCAGTGGGCACCACCATCACCATCCTCCTTCTTATCCTTATCCACCTTATCCTTATCCTCCTTATGGATATCCACCTGGTTATCCACCACCATACCCATACCCAACTCCGGCGCCACCAGGAGATGGTGGTGAAGAAGACGGGGAATTGTATAAGAAGTAATAAAGTTAATGTTAATATTAATTTTAAGTAGTAAACTAAAAATAGAAATAATATTAAAAATTATCTATTATCTAAGCCTGGCTGATTTTTTTAAATTCTTATAAGAAAGCAGCATCCCATTAAGTCGCTTGTGGATTGAACCTTTAAAAAAACAATCCACAACTAGGTGTAATTAATCTATTTGGGAGCTAGAATATATAAAACTTCTAAAGTCGACACAAAAGCGTAATTGCAACTAATTCAGTCGGGAATTGTAGCTGAAACCTTCAGAACGTATAGCTACTATTTAAAGGATTAAGATTCTTTCTATGTGCATTTATTGGCGAATGGCGACAATTGCACCAAAAATTGTAATGCGATTCTTCGAGTTTGCCGTTAATATACATTTCACAATTATAGATTAACAGAGCAGAATTTCGTTTAAAGTTAGAGTTTAGGACAAGGCAGAAGCCTACAGTGTTGGATAGTGATAGGAAAACATTTAGCAGCTCATAAATTTTGCGAGAAAAAACATTTTTTTTTACTTGTTGATATTTGTGAATTCCCGGCATTTAGGTAAGAAGTAGGATTTTATGGCAAATAATTTTGTGAAATATTTTGAATTGCTACGATCTTGGTTAATGCGGTGGCATTCCACTTAGTTGAAAATATGGCTTGTCCTCCAAAATATATATAATTTGCAAAATAAAAAAATACAATGTAGATATATATTCATTTTGTTTTCTTAGATTTGATCTTTATTAAAATCTGAGGTATCAAAAATTTAAGTACGTGTAGGATAAAACAAATTTAAAACCTGTGTGTATTTGAGAGTTTTAACAATGATGAATCGGCATTAATTTCATTTTAATCTAATAATAGGTTGCTTTGTCTTGCCACAGTTTGAGATTTAATTGTGGTATAGTACTACAGGGTATTAAATTATTGCTAAAAAGGAAATACTGATTGGATTAGTGTTCATCTAACATTATAAAATAACATTGTGTGACTTACTCTTCATTGGGGAACATAAATACATTGGGCTGCACACATTTCAATGTCTCAGTATTTGCGCACAAAATACCGGCCAAACTGACTTTGCGTATCTCAGCTAATTGTTCTAAAAATTTTAATAAAAAATAAATAAAATTATGAAATTGTAAAATTGCTAATTGAACTAACTTTTAAATCAATTCTTTATACCTTTTGTAAATCCAGTGTTTACATCTTGATGTTCGAAAAAGAAACGATCCGCTTTTCGAGCTGTCAAAAATTGTCGACTCATTATGCATTGGAATGTGGGTCCAAAAATTGCTTCGGAAGAATGCTGTTCCAACGAACCACCAACATTTAACTCAACATCATCTGGGATGTCATAGAACTTTTGCAATAGGCCGATTTTCTGAAAATATCAATTGGTATTGTGTATCATTTATATATTAGGTGTGTGCAATAACTTTTTGCAGAGAATTTTTTCTCTCAAGTACAAATATTGCAAATTGTTCAAAAACCACATTTAAAAATCGAAAAAGATAACAACTGTTTTGCAAAATATATTATATTGTTGAGAAAATCTAATAAAAATTGCAAGTATTTTTAGTTATTAAAGTTCATTATCTGCAAAGTAAATATGATATGTAAATTATTTTGTTCACAAGAAAACCCGTTGATCTCTTAACTCGCTCTTATATACTGGATTTTTGGGTTATCGGACAAAATTTTGTAATAAGTTGTAGAAATTATTGTGTTCTGCGTTATTATCAGTAAATATGTGTATGAGTATGTAAGGACCTACCTCTTCACCGATTTCATTGGCAAAACCGTTCCAGTCATGAGCTCTTGGCAATCCACAATATTCACGGTAATCATTATAACTAGCCAAACCAAAATCACGGCCACGTTGTATATCTATAGACTTTAGATCAGAACCAAACTCATCGAACAATTTTCTATCGAAATAATGTTTTATCTGAAATGGAAATAAAATTAATTTAATGTTAAATAAATAGGAAACATTTAAATTAAATTACATTTAAATTATTGTTAAATAATTAAGAAAGAAACATTGATAGAGGTTCTTAATATATTTCATTAATGAATATTGTGTCATTTAAATATTGTATGCCGCTAATGTTGGTTTGAAACTTTGCAGGGTTTTGCCTCTATCGGACTATAACCTTGATCTTTACTTAGACCTCACACCCTCATTCTAAGCCCATATTTTGTATAATATTGTAAACTCTGTTCCAGAACCTGTCAGAATCTTAATTAAAGGGAGGAAAAATCGGTTCTCGTAGTATAAAGTTTTACATTCCTGCAGTTATGGAACAGAATATATGTATGTAAAGCATTTTAAAATATCTGCTAGAAATCGTATCTCTTAGTAAAATTTTGGTTGAGAATCGTTACATCTCTAAATTTGTTTGGATAAGACAGACTATTTTCAAAAAAAAAAAAAAAATAAAATAAAATAAAAAAAATAATAATAACAATGAAATGTTTAAATGTGGGCCTTTGACGCCGAAAAGCTCTTTTGTACAGGGTGAGATGCAACAAACTTCAGACTGCTGTCATTCCTAAGCCTCTCGTTCGACAGCTGTTAAAATTATTCCAGTGACAGCTAATTATATTGTTTACAAGCGTACAAAAGCATTTTTGTGAGAATTTTCAGAAAAAAGTTACTTGTGAGCGAATTGATATTTGGATGATGTAGTCCACTTTTACTATCGGATTCGTTTAAAATTTGGTATTTGTAATTCATAATGGGTTCTACCACAAGTGTCAGAATATTGTCCATATTAGTCCACGATTTCTATATAATAGCGCCTCCCGATATTCGGTATTTTGATGATTCTAGACATATTTTTCAATACAAGTTTTTAAAATCTGGTATTTTAGACTAACAATAGATAGCAATCCTTGCAGTAGAAAATTATCTATATAGTTTCGCGTTTTAGTATTGCGGTTCCGCTCACTTTATAGTATTTTGAAAACAGAACAACTGATCTTACTTATTTGCAGTTTAATGTGAAACACGTCTAATATTGAATCTAGATACAGTTATTTATTAACGTTTTTTACTTATTTGCTTTCATAAAATTGGATTTTAAAAACTTTTTTCTTTCCACTTAAGTTTGACTTTGCAAGATTTTTTTAATTTAACCACTATTTTTATGGCTATTTTGGCTGGATCATAATAATAAAAATAATACAGTATACCACAAACCGATTTAGTCTATAATCGGATTATTGCCGATCCGAAAAATATTATTGCAGATCGTACACTTACCTCTTTGTCCAAATTAGAATCGGCTCTCTTTTGTAATTGAGTTATCAATCCTCTGACCAAATCATCAAAGTTTTGACCTTTCTGTAAAAGTTGAGCAACACTCGGACGTTTAAAATAATCACTCAAACGAAGAGTTTTATTATGAGCACGATCAGATGTAACTAATCTGTAATTGTTTATAAAATAAGATTAATAAATAACATTACAAATAATTTTTAGTTTTTACTCACGAAAACCAACCAGGAATTTGGTTATGTGCATAACGGAATGCTCCGGCTGAATTTTCGGCATATGCAACGGGATACCATGATGGTTCATAATCATTGACATATTGATGGGGCCCCACATTATATATTAAACCATTTGCATAACTGTACACAGGTCCCAATAACCATGGTAACCAATCGTAATACGTGATTTTCTGATACTGAGCTATATTGATTTTTCGGGCTTCCTGGAAAAGTTTTTCATCGGAATAATGTGGGTTCAATTGACCCAAGATGTTGGCTAAACGATTGTGTTCTCGGACAAAAATTGTTTGAACCACAGCTATTGTGGGGGTTAGTTGATTGCGTACATCGGGTGTACTGTAACACTGACCCATACTTTCGGGACACTCGCCTTTTGTCTTCGAAGTAAGTGGCAAATACTGTTGACGGTTATTGACGATGGTTTTTAAAAGTCCTCCATAATATTGACGTATTTTAATATTTTGCTCAAACGTATTGCCATAGACAGATGAAAGATCCACAAATGGTGTCGCTTTAGATAGTTTCTCGATGTATCCATAATGACTTTGGGGGCAGCTTACATCGGCATCGCTTAAGCTACGGGCAAAACTTAAACACGTTTTACCAGAGGTCAAGGCAATGGGGCCATAGGCGTTCAAAGGTATAGAATAGCAATGTTTACTGTGGGGATTTTTACAACAATCAACTATGGAAGAGAAATATAAAAATTGGTCAACTAACCTTTGTAGTTCCGTTTGTTACATCCATAAATATTCGTCGTGTACCACATAAAAAATATATTATATTTATAATCAGCATAAAATTCTTAGTGGACTTAACGACGTCCGTCTGTCTGTCCGTCTGTCGATGATATCACGATACACCCCACATTATTTGACATAGAGCTTAACAATTTGTATTGTGTCTAGGATGGTTTGTATTAAAAAAAATTAGATATATCGGTCCACGTTTTGGAATAGCCCCCATATAAGGGGGTGTTTTGATGATTTTTGTCACATTTTTCCGCGGATTTATCCAAAAATTGGTATTAGTTGTTCGTAATGGGTTCTAGCTCCAAAGGCAGAACATTGAAAATTTAGGTCCACGTTTTCCTATAGCGCACATATAACGATACCCACCGATACTCGGTATTTAGGTATAGTCCTAGTCACATTTTACCTACGAAATTGTTTCAAATTTGATATTTAAGAAGATTTGGTAGATTGCATAGCCCCCATATAAGGGTACCTCCCGATAGTCGGGGTTTTGATGATTTTTGTCACATTTTTCCGCGGATTTATCCAAAAATTGGTATTAGTTGTTCGTAATGGGTTCTAGCTCCATAGGCAGAACATTGAAAATTTAGGTCCACGCTTTCCTATAGCGCACATATACCGATACCCACCAATACTCGGTATTTAGGTATAGTCCTAGTCACATTTTACCTACGAAATTGTTTCAAATTTGATATTTAAGAGGATTTGGTAGATTGCAATCCTTGAAGCATAAAATTGTATATGGAGGTTCAATTTTTGGTATGGCCCCAATACAATGGCCTGACCCATTTTATGGTTTTTTGACCCATTTTATGGTCATTATTCAAACCGACTTACTGATATTTGTAGTTTAAAGTGGAGCGTATTAAAAGTTCGGCCCGGCCGAACTTGTTTTTTTACTTGTGTTTAATTGGAGTAGTAACGGGTTATCCAACAAGAAGTGATTTTTAATTAGCCCACATTTCGATAAGGACAATTTCGGTCAATTTAAGGGTGACCGCTACAGACGTTTGACAAGTAAATGTCAAATTACTAAAAATGAAACGATGCATACTTCAGCAGTATATTGAAACCATTAAATCATTCATTATCGACTTGTGACCCGGCCGCGTCTGAGGTATAATTCTACATTTTGTGAGAGTTGTTATTAAAAATTTCCGACCCCGTGTGAAGAAGAAAACCGACAAATCACTTTTTCGTACGAGATCTCCAGGGTGAGATGCAAAACCTGCAACCAAATTCAGACTGCTGTCATTTCTAAGCCACTAGTCCGACAGCTGTTAAGATTATTCCAGTGACAGTTCATTATATTGTTTACAAGCGTACAAAAGCATTTTGGTGAGAATTTTCCAGAAAAAGAGTTTTTCGTAATGGAATTCAAGCGTGACAGTGTGATTTCTTTATTTTCGGCTGGAAAACCACAAGTGGCTATCGGTAGAGCACTCCAGCATTTAAATGTGAATAAATCTTTTGTGTATCGTACCAGCGCTTAATACCGTGATAGTGGTAGCGTAGCCCGATGTCAAGGAAGTGGACGGAAGAAAACAGTAACATCAGCAGAAATGGTTCGAAACGTAAAGAAGCGACTTGAACATATCGCAATATTCCATTCGGCAAATATTAAAAAATGAGCACGGGGTAAAGCCATTAAAATTCCAAGAAGTGCAAGAACTTACACCTCTACAGAAAGAAAATAGACTCAAAAAAGCTAAAGAATGGCTTCGCTTGGCCGAAAGTGGTGAACTGCGAATTTGGGGTTTTCCGATGAGAAAACATTCGTTGTCTAGCAGTTTGTAAACAAACAAAGTGATCGTGTTTACTTGCAAAGAGGTCAGCTGAAAATGTGCACCTTCAGTTGGCCACCAGAACTCAAGTGCCGGACATGGTGATGGTGTGGGCCGCCATACCAATCCGTGTCTGAAGTATTTTGGAAAGAAAGTTTGGCACTAAAAAATACCAAAGTGTCGATCACCTCAAGCAAGCGCTTCGCCGGGAATGGGCCAAAATATCGCTGAGCAACATTCGGGCAGCGTGTGACGTTTTCATTGGCCGTTTGGAGGCCATAATTCGTTCCAAAGGTGACCAATTCGAAAAAATCTAATCTTATTCTAAAATTTGATGCTATTTCCGACATTGTATGCTTTCATTCAATAAAATTTTTTAAAAAATGTAAGAATTATGGCTTTTGTCGTTGTTGCAGTTTTTTATCTCGCCCTGTATATTAAAGTATTGGTATTAACAATATTGACATTTTGCGGAGGAGGTACGACGTTTGGACTATATCGGGCAATCGATTCAATGAACGTTTATTTGCCTAAACCTTATCTACATTTTAAAATATTGGATTCTCCCTTCGTTCAATGTCAGATTTTTTTTGTTTTGCATTTATAACTTTGTGGGGGTTATCAGAAATATTGGAACGATATTCCTCGTCTCTGAACTTTATATAGGTCTGGTAAAAATGTCATATAATTTACAATAATTTCTGTTTAGCCGCATCGTTCTAAGATGCATTCTAGGAATAGCTGATTTTAAAATAAGGTCGTTTAATTTGAATTCAAGCAATTCTTGAATTGAAAGGTGTCCAAAAACTACTGAACTACAAAATAACTAAGAAATAACATCACACAAAGTGTTTCATCTGTGTTTAAGCTTTCACTCGGAGTTTTACTTTTCTTCAGCAGACATATTTCATTTTCATTTTGTGTCACAATCCTATTTAACATAAATTGTACTTACTCGTTTCAGCTTCCATCATTTCACTAATATCGTGCGCAACAACTTGACCCCATTGCATTGTCAACATCGACCTTGTGCTATCCATAAAAGTTTCATCTCCATGCAATGACAATGATAATTCTCGGGGACTAGGTAAAGCCTTTCCCGCACGAGATCGACTTGGTGCATATTTGCCATCGCCGTATTTGGGTTTTAAAATACGTCCATATCTCGAATTCGACATACCATAGCCAGGATGTACTAAATTATTACATGATCCATCAAAATTTCGATAATACAATGCACTGGAGTCGTTGGCACACGACAGTGGTGGAACGGAACATTCCAATTTGTTGGCACTCTCCAGCAAACTATTCAGGTCACTATCCTCGTGCACTGCTACATCATAACCGTCTGGAGTTTTACTCACATAATTATGAGCAAATAATGCACTATCCTCGGGTGCATGTTTAGCTAAATTCCAAACATCACTTGGATACGGATTGAGGTTCGATTTCAATACATTATTGTCACCTAGAGCATTTGACAATAACGATGAATAAAACTGCTGCTCGGAATATGGACTATACGATTAGGAAGAAGAAGAATTAATATTTCGCCGACAGAATCTTCTTGCCTCAAAACTTACCATTTCGATTGATAGCTGTGTTTAAAGAATATTAAAAACAAAACACAAAAATATAACCACTGCATAATTCCGCGTCTGGTCACTGGAACAAAATTGTAATCTTTAGTGAGACTATGGGAAACCCACGCACTTATTTTTATACACATCTGTTATTACCTCATTTGTTTACAGATAAACTTTAGTTGTTTCAGGTGAGAAAAAAATCGAGATTTATCACGTTTTGAATCTATACGGAAAATGGGTGGAAGTAAATTGTTAAAGTGTTTTCAGTCTTATCTAGACGAACTTATTGTTGTAGTGATTTTAATTCTGTCGGATTTTCAACAAATATCAACAAAATCAACTTTACTTATCAGCATGGGAAAATAGTGCAAGTATATTACATTTAAGCAAGTAAGTGCTACAGTGGGGCGTAGTACCCTAGATCACGATAGTTTGCGTGAAACTTTCTGTAGATTGGACATAATACTTAAAACCAAAAATATCAAGATTCGTTCTATAATTTACAAGTCCTAGGGGTTATAATTAATGTAATAATTTCCAACAATTTAAAGAATGGTCTCATTATTACGTTCCTCCGTTCGAACAATTATCTTAGATCTGAAATCAAAATTTTTCAGAAAACTATGTTCACCAGAAGAGTATTCCACATTTGTGCAAACATTCATGGCAATTACTTTATATTTACGACTTTTGTCTGCTAACGGATATTCGAAAAAACAAGAATGTGGGATAACTTTTCTTTTAAAAATTAATCAGTAAAGTTTACTTGTAGAATTTTCCCCTCACGTCAAAATATTGCAAAAAGTAGGTATGTTTGGTTACTTTTCCTGCAGAAATTATCCAGCAGCATCTTTCTGCGAGAGTAAGGTAGTTTTATTCTCTTTTGCAAGGAAAATACGAAAAGTAAACATACCATTCAGTAACAGCTGTTTCTAATAATAAGTGCGAAAACTTCAAATCAAATTTGCAATATTTGTAGTGAAATGATCCGAACAAGGCTGAGTTCATTAAATTTTTTCATGAAAAAAAAAAAACAAAATCAAGTGGGTTTAAAAAAGAAATTGTCCCACTATCGGAAAATGTACACTCAAAATAGAAACAAGTGAAAAAGCTGTAAATTCGGCTAGGCCGAACTTTGAATACTCTCCACCATTTGGAACGAGTTTGGCAATTCTCAAAAGAAGACGTGGACCTTCTTAGCTAACTTTGGTCATAAGTCAATACAATATTCAAATGCGAAACTTAAAAAAAATGGTGAATAATGTAGCTAAAATCATCAAAATACCGAATATCGGGAGGTACCGTTATATGGGGGCTATAGGAATACGTGGACATGCACAAACAATTTTCTGCCTTATGCTGTAGTATCCATTACGAACTGCAAATACCAAACTTGAAACAATTCCGGTGAATAATGTCGCTAAAATCATCAAAATACCGAATATCGGGAGGTATTGTTATATGGGGGCTATACGAAGACGTGGACCTGCATAGATAATCTCCTGTCATAGGCTGTAGCATCCATTACGAATATCAAATACCAAATTTGAAAGAGTTCCGATGAGAAAGAATTTCGATGTCGCTAGAATCAACAAAGAACCGAATATCGGGAGGTACCGTTATTTGTGGGCTATACCAAAACGTGGACCTATATGGCCTATTTCAATATCAAAAGTCCTGCAGACATAATATACATTTGAGTAAAATTGTATCAATCTACTTCAATTCGTCTGGAAGCTGGAATTATTTCCACAGACGGACAGACGGATAGACAGACGGACGGACATCGCTAAATTGACATAGAATTTTATGCTGATCAAAAATATATATACTTTGTGGGGTCTAAAATGTATATTTTGAGGTGTTACAAACGGAATGACAAACTTAATATACCCTCCATACTATGGTAGAGGGTAGAAAAACAAGTAAAAAACAGTAAACTTTGAATACCCTCCACCATTTGGAACGAATCTGGAAGGTTAAAAAAGTGGAAAATGGAATCCATTAAGAAATAGAATTCTGTTAAAGTATTAAAAATACCAAAGATGTGGAGTTACCGTTATTTTGGGGTCTATAGGAAGATGTGAACCTGCATAGGCAATTTTTTGTCACAGGTTGTAGTACCCATTACGAAGTGCAAATACAAATTCTGAAATGTCGCTGAAATCAGCAAAATATCGAATATAGAGAGGTACGATAATATGGGGGCTATACAAAGACCTGGACTTGCATAAACAATTTTCTGTCAAAGATTGCAGTTCCCATTAGGATTTTAAATACGAAATTTTAAAGAATTCCTGTGAATAATGTATGTAAAATCACCAAAATACCGAATATACGGAGGTAGCGATACATGGGGGCTATACGAAGACCTAGAACAGTATAGACAATTTTCTGTCATAGATTTTTGTTCCTTTTAGGAACTTCAAATAAAAATACTGGATATCTGGCAGTATCATTATATGGGGGCTATACAAAGACGACAATTTTCCCTTATGGACTAAAGTACCCATTGCGAACAATCATTATGGAATTTGGAACGGTTTCGGTGAACAGTGTCACTAAAATTATCAAAATACAGAATATCGGGAGGTTCAGTTATATTTTCAATACCTGAAGACGAAACACACATTTGAGTTATATTGTATCAATCTACTTTAGCTCGTTCGGAACTAGATTGATTTCCACAGACGGACAGACAGACGCACGGTCAACGTAAAGTCGACATAGAATTTTATGCTGATCAAGAATATATACACTTTGTGGGTCTAAAATCTATATTTCGAGGTGTTACAAACGGAATGACAAACTTATTATACCTATATGGTCTTAAAATTGGTAGGGATAATTTAAGAAATGCTTTACTTAATCTTAACATAGTTTGATGGGTTTAATTAACGAGCACTTCCAGTTTTTAAAACTAATTTACGAGAATGGACTACGTAATTCTAATGGGTTCGATGAGTAAAATACACTACCTCGCTTAAATTTGACAATGTCCTGTAGCTCAAAAAATTACAAGTCACTGATATATAAATGTGCTTTGAATGTTAGACCTGTTGTTACTTCATCGTATGTTTTATTGCCTTTCATTAAATACAAGATCATTCAAATCTAGGTCTGCTAGTAATTTATATATGAACACATTTATGATCGGTTATATTCTAAGGGCAATATCAACAAATATATATGATCGGTTATATTTGATAACACGCGAATTGTGATTTATTTTATGCAAATTACATGGCCTAAAATCTTGACAATAAAAATTAATATGCGTGGAAGCTGTGGCTGTATCGATGTAAAAATGGGTTGAGCCAAACACGTTTTTTATTGTTTCTCTCAATTTATAATTAAATCACACTTTTCACTCTTTCTTTCACTGTCAAAGTGAAAGTAGAAGCGTTGTAAATGAGGATTATGTCTCTATTGTATATATGTATAAATAACGTGGAAATTTTGGAGCAAAATTGTAAGTGTTTCTTTAATTCTAAACGCGAGGGTAATTGGAAATTTTTAAGTCATTTATATGCAATATGGTTCTTTAAGAGCGCTACTTTTTGGACACATTATTAATTAGTGTCATTCGAAAGACCTTGATCGTAAAAATCCATGTAGTAGAACCGTGGAAACTAATACCTCAAAAATGGTAAAATTGAATAAAGGGGGTTTTGCATTTATTTGCTCTTCTGTGTGTCAGTTCAACAAAGAAAATGCTGTGTTTTTGCATAGAAGGAGATTCAAAAACGTTGCCGGTAAGAAAGCGGTATTCTCTTCAGTCCACAAATAGTGTGTCTTACAGTTTTTTACAAACTATAATACAGATGATACATTAAGACCTGATACGAAATTTCCAACATTTTGCCAATCAAATAAAATAGATTTACATTATATAACAAGTAAAAAAGAAGGTAAGTTCGGCCGGGCCGAACTTTTATACCTTCCACCATTTGGAACGAATAAGCAATTTTCAAAAAAAAAATAAAATCCATTAAAAATTCTGTTAATTAGGGTCTAAATGACGACATGGGCCTGCATAGGCAACTTTTGTCATAAGCAATAAAATATTCAAATGCGAAACTTGAAAAAAAAATCGGTGAATATTGTAGCTAAAATCATCAATATAGAGAGGTACTATTATATGGAGGCTATACCAAAATGTGGACCTGCACAGACAATTTTTCTGCCTTAGGCTGCAGTATTTTAGACCTCAACATCCAACATTTTGCCAATCAAATGAAATAGATTTACAGTATATAACAAGTAAAAAAGCAGCTAAGTTCGGCCGGGCCGAACTTTTATACATTCCACCATTTGGAACGAATTAGCAATTTTTCAAAAAATAAAATCCGTTAAAAATTCTGTTAATTAGGGACTAAATGGCGACGTGGACCTGCATATGCAACTTTTGTCTTAAGCAATAAAATATTCAAATGCGAAACTTAAAAAAAATTCGGTGAATATTGTAGCTATTATATGGGGGCTATACCAAAATGTGGACCTGCACAGACAAATTTTCTGCCTTAGGCTGCAGTATCCATTACGAACTTCAAATACCAAATTTGAATTAATTTTTATCAATATACCGTATATAGAGAGGTACCGTTATATGGGGGCTATACGAAGACGTGGACCTCCTGTCATAGGCTGTAATATCCAATACAAACTTCAAATATCAAATTTGAAACAATTCCGGTGAAAAATGTCGCTATAATCAACAAAGTAAAGAATATCGGGAGATACCGTTATATGCGGGCTATATGAAGACGTGGACCAGCACAGACAATTTTCTGTCTTAGGCTGTAGTTTCTATTTCGAACTTCAAATACTAAGTTTGAAACAATTCCGGTGAATAATGACGCTAAAATCATCAAAATACCGAATACCAAAACGTGGACCCACATGGCCCATTTTCAATACCAAAAGACATAATATACATTTGAATAAAATTTTATCAATCTACTTCATTTCGTTCGGGAGCTAGAGTGATTGCCATAGACGGACAGATGGACGGACATTGCTAAATCGAAAAGAATTTTATGCTGATCAAGAATATACATACTTTGTGGGGTCTAAAATGTGTATTTCGAGGTGTTACAAACGGAATGACAAACTTAATATATCCTCCATACTATGGTGGAGGGTATAAAAATAGGTGTGTATCAAATATGAAAAACTATTTCGGGATTTTCAACCATACACAAATTTATGTTAAGAAAATTGGTTTTTTACCGACATTTTTCGCAAATCACTGCGATACTAACCTGTGACTTTCTCAGAATAAAAACCAATAATCCACTTACACTAAACTTGACTGATGTAAAATTAACCTCTCAAACCAAATATCAGTACTATTGGGTGCATGCTATGACTCTCAGAATACTTTAATATAAAATCGGGTGAAACAACTTAATTGGACAAATGCAACGTTCTGCTGTATTATTTATATAAAATTAGAAGCAAATATATATATGAGTTATATCCAAATTGAACCAATCTCGACGACAAAACTTGGCAAAAGTATTTTAATGATTTTAAGCTATAGGTAAATCTTAACCGATTTTCATCATACTTGACTCTGGGCTAAGTGGACTAATATTACACATTTGGACTAATATTACACATTTGGCGAACCATATATTTTAAATCGAACGAAGGTATATGTAAAAGTTATATTCAAATCTGAATCTATTTCGTTAAAAATTACCAAGGATATTTCTCAATATATCTGATATCTTGAACCGAATATCATTATTATGGAGTGAATATTACGGACGTGGAGGACTTAAATATGAAATTGGATGAAACATATACCGGGTGAGATGAAAAAACTGCAACTAACTTCAGACTGCTGTCATTTCCAAGCCACTCGTCCTACAACTGTTAAAATTATTCCAGTGACAGCTCATTATATTGTTTATAAGCGTACAAAAGAATTTTGGTGAGAATTTAACAGAAAAAAAAGTTTTTCGTGATGGAATTCAAGCGCGATAATGTGATTTCTTTAAGTTTCGAACTCCAGCATTTAAATGTAAATAAATCTTTTGTGTTTCGTACCATCGCTCGTTACCGTGATGCTGGTAGCGTAGCACAACGTCAAGGAAGTGGACGAAAGAAAACAGCAACATCAGCAGAAATGGTTCGAAGAGTAACGAAGCGACATGATCGAAACCCGCGTCGCAGTGGCCGAAAAATGGCTCGTGAGCGAAACATATAACAATATTCTATTCGGCAAATATTGAAAAAATGAGCTCGGGATAAAGCCATTGAAATTCCAAAAAGTGCCAGAACTTACACCGCAACAGAAAGAAAATAGACTCAAAAGAGCTAATAAGTTGTTTCTCTTGGCCGAAAGTGGTGAACTGCCAAATTTGGTTTTCTCCGATGAGAAAACATTCCTTGTCCAGCAGTTTGTAAACAAACAAAATTATCGTGTTTACTTGCCAAAGAGGTCAGCTGAAAATGTGCATATTCGGTTGGCCACCAAAACTCATGCGCCGGCCATGGTGATGGTGTGGGCTGCCATAACAGTCGATGGTCGCTTTCCGCTCGTGTTAATCGACCGTGGCATCAGAATAAATGCCGAATATTATCGCGAAAATATTCTGGAGGCTGTATTAAAGCCTTGGGCATGCAAACTTTTTGGCCGCAGACCTTGTACATTCCAACATTCGCACTCAGTACGCGCCACCCAAGAATGGTTACAAAATGAGGTCCCTCGCTTCATTTCCAGCGCACAATGGCCACCAAAATCTCCGGATACCAATCCGTTGGACTAATGTGTCTGGAGTATTTTATAAAGCAAGGTTGGCACTAAACAATACAAAGTGTCGATCACCTCAAGCAAGCGCTTCGCCGGGAATGGGCCAAAATACCGCAGAGCAACATTCGGGCAACGTTTGACGGTTTCATTGGCCGTTTGAAGACCATAATTCGTGTCAAAAGTGACCAATTCGAACAAGTCTAAACTTATTTTAAAATTTGATGCTTTTTCCGAAATGTTTTGCTTTCATTCAATAAAATTAAAAAAAAAAGTAAAAAGTATGGCGTTTGACTTTGTTGCTGTTTTTATACCCTCCACCTTGGAAAGGAGGGTATATTAACATTGTCATTCCGTTTGTAACATCCTTAAATATTCGTCGTAGACCCCAAAAAATATATATATTCATAATCAGCATAAAATTCTAAGTCGATTTAACGTTGTCCGTCTGTCTGTCCGTCTGTCTGTCTGTTGACATCACGATACAGCCCACATTATTTGACGTAGAGACCCAAGATTTAGCAGAGCAATTGGTATTGTATCTAGGATGGTTGGTATTGAAAATGAGATATATCGGTCCACGTTCTGGTATAGTCTCCATATAACGGTACCTCCCGATATTCGGTATTTTGATGATTTATGCCACATTTTTTCACGTATTTGTCTGAAAATTGGTATTTGTAGGTCATAACGGGTCCCTGTACGTATGGCAAAACATTACATGCATAGGTCCACGTTTTGGTATAGCCCCCATATAATGGTACCTCCCGATATTTGATATTTTGATTATTTTTGACACATTTTTTCACGAATTTCTCTGAAAATTTGGTAGTTGTAGATCATAATGGGTCCCAGTTCGTGTGGCGAGTCATTGTAATTATAGGTCCACGTTTTGGTACCTCCCGATATTCGGTAATTTAATGATTTTTGCCACATTTTTTCACGTATTTGTCTGAAAATTGGTATTTGTAGGTCATAATGGGTTCTAGCTCCGATGGCGAAACCTTGCATGTGTAGGTCCTCGATTTAGTATAGCCCCCATATAACGGTACCTCCCGATATTCGGCATTTTAATGGTTTTTGCCACATTTCTTCTAATGTTTCCTTTACCCTAAGGTGGAGGGTATTAAAAGTTTGGCCCGGCCGAACTTAATGTTTATGTTTTTCATGTTACAAAAAAATTTACAAAGATATAATAACTTGTACTACAATGTAGTGTCGGTAAATGTAGTGAGGGTAAAGAAATAAATAAAATAAAAGTTGTGAGGTCAAGTCATTTTAAATATTCTCTTTATATTGTTGTTGCAAAATGGTCAGGCTTAATCCTCTTTATATATAAATCCATTGCATACACATAAATCAGAGGTGGAAACCTGTTTTATTCAGTGGAATTTGAAAAGGAACTTTCGGAATTTGACAAAGAACTTTCTTTAAATTGAATCCATTTATATCTGCATTAATTTATATCAAATATATAATTAGAGTTTTCATTTAAAGTCAAGGCGTGGTAAAATTCTAAATAATAACAATGCTGGGTTTTTAAGTAAGTTTATTTACTGAAATTTTCGAAATTTTCACATGACCCTAAAAATTTTAAAATGGTTAAAACGATAATAACTTATGTAATAATTTTTGAGTTATTAATTTCATATACATATATTTATGTAAGATTACTGCTGAAGATGTATATCATTCGGCCCAGCCTAACAAATTATAATCTGGTAATACTTGATTTAGCTTCCGATATACAATAGGTAACAAGAGGGCGCTTACTATACATTTCTTCTGCATTTGCCGGTAATACTTGGAACATATCACCATTTTCCGCATAATTAAAAGAACGTGATGTTAGTAAACTGTGAATATCTCTTCACTAATAGTTACACCAAAAAAGTAGAACGATGATAATAGCATTTCTCTATAAAAGAAAGAAAGACAATGGGTTGTACTACCATTTGCCTAAACCAATAAGCTACAACGGCGGAAACGATGTACAACTGGTTATTACGCTGTGCTTTGTTGCTGGTGGCTTGTACATTAAGCTGTCAATTAGAATGGTAAGTAGTTTAATTTAATTATTTCGAAAGTAAAGTAAATAGCTCGCCTATTATACTTCACAGCCCATTTGCAAAGAGACAATTGGCATTTGCGGCCTCAAATGCTATTAGTTCCGGAGCGCATGCATATCCTGAGTTTCCGGAGGCAGTTGATTTGGGACATTTGCAACATGGTGGTGCCGACTGTGGCAATACTTTTGGTACATATGACGACAATAGTTTATTACACCACTCACTTGATAATGAGGTGAAATTCGAATGCGCTGTCCCACCTCAACAATGTGCCAACGATTCGAGCAACTTATATTATCGTACCTTTGATGGATCTTGCAATAACTTGGCTTATCCTGGTTACGGAATGGCCAACTCCAGATATGGACGTTATTTAAAACCAAAATATGGCGATGGCAAATACTCACCAAGTAGATCGCAATCTGGCGAAGCTTTACCAAATCCAAGATTATTATCCTTAGCCTTGTTCGGTGATGACACAGTTGCGGATAAATCGCGCACTATGTGGACAATGCAGTGGGGACAATTTGTTGGTCACGATATTAGCGAACAGTTGGAATCTAATGTGGGTAAGTGCAAGAGACTTTTATAAGATATTACAAATTGACAACGTATTATACGGACTATTCACTGGGCCTGCCCGTTTATCCGAAAAATTTTTACTTTAAGTTAACAGACGACTTCCAGTAATAACCACCTATTTTTATGACCGACACCACAATGTAGTACAGGGTGTTATGTATTTGTACAATTTCTTGTAAGATGCAAAAGAAAGCGAGATATGCTAACAGATCCTTTTGATTCGATTTCTGCATGTCCGTCCATCCGTTTGTTCATGTATTGCTGTAAACAAAATACAGAGCGCTTTTATTATTCGATTGTGTTGAAAATTTGCACAGATCATTTGTTTTTCCCAAGTGCGAACGCTGTTGGCAATAGTTTCTTCAAATGTCATGTTTAAGTCTTTCACATCCGTTATGTTCACTCCATAACAATGATATTCGGTACAAGATATCAGACACAGCAGAGAAATATTCTTTACAATTTTTGATAAAATCGATTCTGATTTGGATATAGCTCCCATATATATGTCTTCTTTTGATTTCAAGTATATTGTTCTTCAAATGTGTACTATTAGCCCAAAAGGGATTCATTTTGGCTTGCTGAACTAAGACAAGAATCTAGTTGTAAAATTTGGTGAAAATCGGTTAAGATTAAGTTATAAATTATTATAAGAATTAACTCCCTATTCCAGATGACTGCTGTGAAAATTCTCATAGCAAATTTTGCTACACCATACCGTTACATGTTTATGGTCCCATTACACTGGGTACGGGCAGGACATGTTTGCATTTCGCACGTACTCTTAGCGACAAAGATGTTCCATGTTCACTGAATAATTTGGGTTATGCCGAAAAATTGTCCAAGCAAACAGCCTTTTTAGATCTTTCTTCAGTGTATGGCAATTCCCTGGAACAGAGTATCAAAGTGCGTCATTATCAAGGTGGCCTGTTGCGAACGGTTTGGCATAATCATCAACAATATTTGACCACGACGACAAATGCAAATGAAGAATGCCAAAAATATGTTGAAGCTTGTTTTCGCATTCCTGATATACGAAATCAGCTATCGCCAACTATAACAGTTTTACACACGCTTCTGGTACGAGAACATAACCGATTGGCCACCATATTAGAGAAATTAAATCCACATTACTCGGATGAAAGCCTTTTCCAATTGGCCAGGAAAATAAACATTGCCCAGTATCAAAAGATCGTCTACTACGATTGGCTGCCTTTAGTTTTGGGTTCTGACTTTGCGTATACACACGATTTAGTCCATGATGTGAGGCCATATGATTATGTTAACGACTATGATCAATCATGGACACCAGCAGCATATGCTGAGAGTGCTGCAGCTGCGTTCCGTTATGCCCACACAACGGTACCGGGATGGTTTTCGTAAGTAAAAAATCGAAGTGATGCAAATTAATGAGCTACACAACATGTCTTAATATTTTTAGATTGGTTGCACCTGACTTCCGGCATAACAAAACCCTTCGTTTGAGCGACTATTTCAAGCACCAGGAGACCCTTTCTCTTGTGCAAACAGGCAATAACTTCGATGACATATTAAGAGGTCTGCAACTACAATGGGAAAAACGTGCAGATCCTAATATTGATAAGGAAGTATGTTCCCTAAAAAACGACATATATATTTTGTACAACAGTTTATTTTTTCTTTTAAGTTAAAACACTATTTTGGCCGAAGACTTCTCGAAGAATATGGCTCAGATTTGAAATCTATCGATATACAACGTGGCCGAGACTTTGGACTAGCCAGCTACAACGATTATCGTGAAGCCTGTGGTCTACCAAGAGCAAACTGTTGGTCTGACTTTGAACATGAAATTGCTCCAGAAGTATGTAAAGAGGCAGTGTTTAAAGTTAAAAATTAATAATTGTGTTTTTTTGTAGAAAATTGCTTTGTTACAAAAATTCTATGCATCACCCAATGATGTGGACTTAAATGTTGGGGGTGCTTTGGAAAGACATTCTGCAGAAGGCATTTTTGGTCCCACATTCCAGTGTATTTTGGGCAGACAGTTTGTTAATTTACGAAAATCTGATCGTTTCTTCTTTGAACACTTCGAACCACATTCAGGTTTTACAAGAGGTATGTAGTAATTTGTTCTTTTCATTTTTAGGCTAATTAAAAGTTGATGCAACATTCTTTATAACTCAAATTAAATTAATATTTATGTATAAACCTAACATATGCATTTCCATTTTTAGAGCAATTGGCGGAAATACGAAAAGTTAGCTTAGCCAGTCTGATCTGTGCTAACAGCGCTGGTCTAAGACATGTCCAATCCAATGTTTTCCTGCATCCAAATGAAGAGTAAATATATACTTAAACATACACGAATATTTCATTTGTCATATTTATGTATCTTTTCAGAAATGAATTGGTGACTTGTAAATCAATAACTCAATTGAATCTAAGACTTTGGCAAGAACATGGTGCTTATTAGTAAAAAAACTTTATTTTATATAATTGTAAAATCCTTTTCTACTTTTAATAAATATTTAATATATTTAGATTTATAAAATAATCAATAGTAAAACAGTTCTCTTGTTTTCATTACGAAATAAGTTCAAAGGGCTACGATAACGTAATTTAAATTAAAACTTTTACAACCACTATTCATTACCCAACTTCTGTGACGACTAACGTATATGAATTTCGGAACACATGCACTAATGCCGCTTCCATATAATTTACTTAACAGTTTCCAACAAAATATTTAATAATAAAGAAGCAGTAGAATTATGATTCTGGACTACATCTTTCACTAAATGTAATTTTTCGAAGGGCAGTCTAACTGCCTTTCGAGAAAATTACATTGTTTTAGTACTTTAATGTGTTTTTAGGACATAACACTTAAAAATGTATTAAAGAAGTCTTTTAAACGTTTTAAACTTTTACAATACATATTTCTTTGAGTTATTGATGCTTATTTATATAGAATGGGATTCGGTGAAAAAGCAAATAAAGGAATTAGTTCAAAAATCAATAGAACCACTACTTCATGTGGAAGAAATTCAATTCAATTTTCCTAAAGTATTCCGGAATTATGAAAGACAATGATTTGATAAAGACCAATAATAATGATTGAATAAAGAATATAACCTCAGTCCGAAAATATTTCTTCAAATTTCTACATCCGAGAATGCTTACAACCTAAATTTCCTTAAAGTTCGCAAAAAGTAATGATTATCGAGTTGCGTAATATGAGGGCTATATCCCACAACAAACCTTATCGAACACTTTGTGCTATTATGTAAAATATATTGAAACATATTTTATCAGTACCCCCAAATTTGTATTCCTATCACTTTATTTCTGCAGTCAATATCATATATAAACACATTTATTATTTTTTTAATTTGATCAGAATATGAGAAAAATTCCAATATTGAAAAGAATAAATATTTTAGCCACTATAGTAATTTTATCTAACAGTCCTTATCTTTAGCCCTTATGGTCCAAAGTCAGGCAATTTTTGTTACATAAATTAATCAATATAAAATTCCTAAAATCGGAGACTAAAATGGACCCTTTGGAATAGCACTAACTCCACCAAAACGTATACCGAACACCACTTTATAACCTATCCGGTTGAGAACGTTCCGGGACCGTTATATGATGGCTACACCATACGTAGACTGATTTGCAATAGTTTCGAACAGACTTGACTTGACAGACTAGTTCTACTATAACCAATAGAACTAGGTATTTAAAATATCTAAAATCGAGTAAACTTTACCAAAGCGCGGATTGTATACCTTATTTTTTATCCGATAAAACTGGCTAAAAAGTTATGATTATGAGCAAAATTGTAATTATCCTTGAAACAGACGGACAGACCTAATAGAATTGTTACGCTAATTAAGAATACAAATATTTTACAGAGTCAAAAATGATTATTTCGAGGAGTTACAAATGGAATGACTAACTTTTCATACGTGTGGTAATTTAACAGACTTCCAGTGTCTTATAGGGATTTCGCTTTCTCCCTTTTTCGCTTTTTATAAAAACAACAATAATAGGATTAAGCCTGACTATTTTGCAACAGATAAAACTACGTTACACGTTTATGCTATTTCGTTCATGTAAAACGAAAGCATAACAAGTGGGGAGAGATAAACATGTTTATAAGTGCGTTGTAAGATTTAGAAGATTTTCGAAAAGAATTTTAGTTTACATTAATTATTTGGTTCCTCTTCCGTTGAGCTTACGATCTCGTCATTTGGGTAAAAAAAGTTTTTTTGTCATAGGAGTTATTTTTATAACTCATGTTGAGAAAATCCCAGACAAAAAAACAAGGGAACTGATGAGGATTGGTGACCATCTTTCTCCACTAATAAACAAACAATAATGGGATTAAGCCTGACTATTTTGCAAAAACAAAATGACTTTTCGCTATTACTGGCAAGTTTCCACAGTGTTTTCGCGATTTCGGAATAATATATTTCTATAATTTTTCTAATAACATGTCGTCGCCCATCTATTGCCAGATCGAAACATTAGCAGACTAAATGAATTTTGTCGAATCTATACAGTAGCAAAATATCTCGGTACCATCCTTAACCAGAAACTAAGCTGCAAGAGGAACATCGAGGAGCGAGCGAACAAGGGCTTAATTGCACTTTATCCCTGCAAAAACTCCATAGGAAAAAGCTGGGGACTCAAGCCTCACATAATCAAATGTATATATGAGTCAGTTGTCCTACCAATTCTAACCTATTGGGGGCTTGTTTGGTGGCACTCCTTGGACAATCCGTCATTCTCAAGTATGTGGAAAGCATAGGAAATCAGGCTATAGCTAGCGATTCTATATAACCTAGGCACAGCTTTGAACTACTTGATTTCCATATACATAACAGAGACATCTGGACCCACGACACTCCACCTTTTAACGGTGTTGCTGTCTATACTGATGGACCAAAGATGGAAAGTGGAACGGCCCTGAAGTCTCTAAATTCATTTACATTCAAATCTATGGCAGTTCTGGAGTGCAGGAATGCTCTGGAAAAAGTTAAATCGTTTGTCAAACTCTGTTGGGTCCCTAAGCACTGCAACATATCTGGCAATGAATCGGCCGATGAATTGGCCAGACGCGGATCTGAGTCAGTAGATCTAGAGATTGAGAGCTAAGTGAAGCCACCCTTATGTAACTTCTTCAAAGTACTGCATAAGCATTATCTTGGGAAATTTCAACAGAACTGGCTAACTGAAAGGGGATGTAATGTCTCCAAAAAGACAGTGGAGCACTCACTCTGATACTGCCCAACTGTTATAGGAGTGAGACAGAGGCTACTGGGTAAGCAAATTCTGCCAGACTTTTTCTCCCTCTCCGACATCGAGCCAGCAGTCATTCTTCTGTCAGCCAGAAGACTAAAGTGGTTAGCCAAAAGACGACACGCTGATACACTGTGGATGCAAGTCTACTTACTTCTCTGCTCTTTATTCAGATTCTCACTTCTACACCAACCGCTATTCATTTCCTTATCTTCTCTCTATTCTATTTTCCTTTCTTCTTCAATTAGGATGAACACAGTGGACCAATAGGTCTCCGTGTGGAGTGGTTGTTTATACAACTGCGCATCCTTTTACCTAGCTTATTATGTCTTTGCTATTACATAGATAAAACAAGATAACTAATTGTATGCCATAAATAAAGGTTATGTTATTTTCCACATTCTGTACTCTAAGCCTGGTTAACTTTTGGAAAACATCCGGTAAAATTTCGTAAAGATTATAAAAATATATCAAATACGCAGACGCACTTATTGTGATACGAACAAATGAGAACATTTGTGTTTTACATGACTCTGTAAAAAACGCCGTTGTATGCAAAATACTTCAATTTCCCCACCATGATAAATTAGTTTGTACAGGCGTATTACCCTAATACACAAGGTCCATATCTTCAAATTTGATTTTATTCCACTTTTCAACATACACAAGATAAGTTATGTCAACGTTCAATTTGGTTAACTTGAAAATTGTGTACTCTCGAAAAGGTGAGTATATCGAAGTTTAGAAACAAATATTAAAATTTAGTTCTTTATTAAAACATTTTTATAAAAATCTGTAACAATAATAAATTATGTGTGTTTTAAAAAATTATTCAATTCAAAACGCTCTTCTTGTTTTAGGTTTCAAACATTTTAAAAATTATATCCAATACTTTTAACAATTCTTTTCCGTATTCAATTTTTTCATTGTTCTCCAGCAGAAGACATTTGAGAGAATCCCTCAAGAGTCGTAGTTGTTTTGATAACTTTGTACCTCGAATCATAGCCACAAATTTTACACCTCCACTTATAAGTTTCCAAAGGGCAACACATATTGCCAACTGTTCCTCCACGGATGATTTTGGAGACACAGACTGGAAAATTATTTCATTGGCAGTGTATATAAAATCTGAAGAAGTCAAAAGGGTGATACGATTGCTATTCAAAAAGCCCATGTTTCTTAAAATCCTCAAAGAAATTAGACGAGATTCTCCCTTGGAACGATTTATAACAGAACACAAAGCATTTAAATGACGAGTTTGAGCCCCTTCTTCATAGCGGGATAATATTTCCCAAAAAGAAAGCCAAGAATTTACAATATCCGGTTTAAGACGTGCAGCTTTGTTATTGAATGGATACAAACTATCAAATATATCCGTAACACGAGCTTTAATTAAGACATTTCTACCTTCAGCAGAACTGCTGCAATTCATTAATATCCTTAGACCAGATGAAATGACGGGAAAATTGTCGGTATTAGATGCTTTAATTTTCATAGTGTCGGCCAAAACCAGTTTTGTGGTCAATTGTAAAACGGAATGTGCAAAAGATGTATTATTTATAGATGAAAATTTTTTACACATCACCAAAGAGCGTTCACAAAAAAATGCCGCAACTTTCAAAAGGGTTAATTTTAGTTCAGTTGAATGTACCATCCACGGCCAAATCTGTATAATAATTTTACTATATTCCAATGCTAGGATATCATCGCTTATAACCATGGTAGGTGAAGAATGCCAGTTTAGCAGAAAGTTTAACAACAGGTGAAGATTTTTGATTACAGCCATTTTCTTATGTTCTCCGTGGCGTTTTACAAACGTCGTACAAGGTGTTGTGGAGTACTCTTCGAAAAAGGTTTTAAAAATGTTTATTACTTGTTCATTCAATTTGAGATGTTGTGCCGTTTCTTGTGCATTAGGAGACACTTTTAACAATAGCGATAAAGATTCCACGACTTGTTGCTGTTCTTCAGTTGGCGCAGAAATAAACTTGCATACTTTTAAAGGATACAAATGGGTAAATAGGCGTATCAAATATATACACAAATGTTCCGAAATGGTTGTTGTTGGGCGTTTGACTGAAAAGAAGAAAATGAAAGTAAGTTAGTACTGTATTTACTTTTAAGAAACAATAATTAGGTCATCTAAAGTTAAAATTTCTAAAGAGCACTTATAATTAGGATAATTTAGAATGGGATATATTGTAGCACAAATTCCGAGGCTTCAAAGTAGTAGATACCATGGTACAATCAATAAGGTAGTGTAACTTCAAAGGAACTATGACAAATATAACTATTTACTAGAGTCTTATTGTGCCAAGTAGACCTTTTTAAGTATGCAACAGTAGGCTTGTTTACATAACATTTTTTTTATTTTCGGGATAAACCGCAAATATGACTGGAATGTTGGGGTAATTCAACAAAGTCGAATCCAGATAAAAATTAAGTGTTATGTTAAATTGTAACTAAGTGTATATTGATTTTAGCTTATTAGTCACATGCGGCCATTAATACATAAATAAACAAAAACGAGTAAGCAAGATATGGTCGTGCGGTGCCGACCATGTGATACCCTACAACACCATAATATATTGGAAATCCTCCTTAGGTCCGAACAAATTTTAGTCGATTATTTGAAATAATGCTATACTGTCCTGCACATATGTTGTCTTTGGTTTATAATTGTGACCTGTAGAGCCTCTTCAAGATCAGGAAAGTTTTAATTTTTGGTCCATTTGATTCCCTAAATATATATCTTGAAATACAATTGGCTTCAATTCTGACCCTAATTCTATCCACATGCTAAATTTCTTGAGAATCGGATGATAATTTCGACTTGAATATAATAATCCAGAAACATAGTGTTTAATGTGAAAAAATGTTACCAAGCTTAAAATTCAATATTGTAAGTCAATTATATATATGACAAAAATATATATAAAAACACTATTTATACTATTCTATTTTATCTGCTAAATATCGTCCGATGACCAAACAAAATGGTAGGCTTTTGACCAGCCCTAAACTCTAGCCCCATCCTAGATTCCACGTCGATTGGTCTATAATTGCGACCTGAAGGGCAACTGCAAAATCACGAAATGTTTCTGTTTTTGGTCCATTTCAAACCTAAACCCCACCTCCATGCTAAAAATTATTGCGACCTGTAGTGTGATCACAAATTAACATGGACGGACGGACATACATATCTAGATCGACTTAGCTCGGCGAGGTAGGAAGATTCATATATACTTTCCTATGTGGGAAACCAATATTTCGAGGTGTTACATAATTTTTGGTCCAATCAAACTTATAATACCCTCAGCACATAGTGTTGTAGGGTATAATAAAGAGCATTAAATGTTTAAAAAAATTCAGTTTACCTTTTTGAGTTTCATTTTCAATATTTTTGATTTTAGTTTTTACGTTGTAATTATTGGATATTCGATTTTCTTTGTTTTCATATTCAAGGTCGATAACTTTATCATGTTTTTGGTCTTCTTCGATGTTTGAGCCATTCAGTAACAATAAAACGTTGCAAGAGAGATCTCCTCCTATTTCTGGCTGGGCCTTAATGCATAAAATACTTAATAGCGACAATATACAGCGTTGCAATATACTGCTCATGCGACTTGTGGATAGGACATGCTTGAAAAGTTGTACAATATTGGAACTGTACTCCAACATTTTTGTGGTCAGATGCTCCAGGGCGCTGGCATCCTCAAGTAATACCATTAACAATTGTAACATATCGACAAGTTTGAATGGTTTCGTAGTGCAGGGAACTATGGTGAATATTATTTTGCATAGGCTATCAAGCCAAACTGGATCTCGGCATATTGTGCGCTGAAGGAAAATATAATTATCAGCATGACACATGGAGTAGAGGCGGCAAATCAACGCAATCATGGTTACATAATCGTTGGAGCTTTCTAATGTTGATGGTAAGGGTAGCTTCAATATTTCATACAATTTAAACATAAACGAGCGAGTACAAATTTCATTCAAAAACGCTGCCGAATGCAAAGACATTTCAATGCAAATCCGTGTGTAGCATGCAACAAGACCACAAGTTGTAATCTGTTTGGTATTTGAAGGTTCAAGTCCATCAGGAACTTCCATACTTAATACACAAATCTCCTTGTTAAGAGCATCTCCTCCAATTAAATTCATAAAACGGTACTGCTCGAGTATTTGCTCTAATTCTTCAATGTTGCTTCGTTTGCGTATAAGATTTCCAAACAATTGGCCCGCCAATTGTCTGACGTGTGTTATTTCTTTCACATCCAATAAGGTACTTAAGCAACAAGCCATAAATCCGCCTGGTAAATATGATAGTTCATTCAGTAACATCTCTGATCCCGAACAGTCTGTAGATTTTGATTCTTTATTTGGCTCTTGTGGAATTGCAGTTGTTTCTGATACGAGGTATAATATGCTCCAAGCTAATATTCGTACCTGTGCATCAATATGAGCACACATACCACCAATATATTTTACCACTCCTGGCGCCAAACGAAAGTTGCATTTTGAGTCTGTCATTTGCATGGAAAGGTTTAATATGGATTTCAAACAATCTCTATGCCATTGTGAGCCTGTTTGGGTAAACGATTTGAGAGCTAGGGATAGTTGCATAAAACGTCTACAGTAGTAGAATAGTAATTTGTCAGGCATATCCAGATGACATGAGCTAAGAGCCAACAACAGAGATAATAAACATCTAACTCGTTGTAAATCACGCTCCTCAAATAGTTTCAGTGTGCGTTCCATAAGCAAATCAAAGAGATTACTAAAAATGGTACTGCTCTCGGCTGCAGACAGGGTGTTTTCAAAAACCTCCACATGATGCCGGATGAGAAATTCCAAGACCGTGGAAATTTTACAAAAAATTCCAAACTCCATTTCCTGTTGCTGGGTAAGTATCGTTACAAATGCCTGTCTTACATCTTTATGTAAAACTTTTATGAATTCTGCAGCAATTTGTGTTACGGGAACTTTTAGACAAATTAGTAGTAAATCTACCAAATAATGATAAAGTTCCAGATCACTTTCATTACTTGGCTGTAATTGTAGATATTTGTTTAGCATGCTACCCAATGTTTGACTTGATTCTACGCCAACGTCAAAAGTGTGGGAATGTCTGGGAAGAAGTAATTGCTGACTTAACATGGAACAGACCTGAATTAAAGATCTGTGATCTGTTGCATTGCTAGCTGCCCTAATCAATCTCTGTAGTGATACACCGGGCTGAGTAGCTCGTATTAATTTAACATCTTCATTGCTAAGTTTCAATTGTTCATTTATGTCTAAATCCGCCTGTTTGGCCACAGATTTCGAATGAACATTAGTCAAACCTTGACAGGAAATATCAGCTACAACAAAACGCCAATACTGATTTTCTTCCTGTGCATTGGGAAATGTTGTTGCAATTGTTTGTAAATCCGCTTCATTGTCTTCAACGGTGGCGAGTGCGGAACGTAAAGTTATATCAATGGGCATGTGAATATTACCCAAAATTAATGGTCCCTCTACGCCTCTTTCTGTCGCCACTAATTGGTGACAGAACAACAATTGAAAAAGACACATCGTGGCATCTTGTCTTGCCTGAATATCATGATGAAACAAAAACAAGGCTCGTAAAAGTAGTACATAAATATTTGGGGTTTCAGCTATTTCACATCGCACGGAGGAATCGTAGAACAAAATTTTGTTGAGTATACTTATACATGGTATAGCAGTATCGGGGTAATCTGTACAAGATTCATTCTGCAAGGCATTCTCCAAAGCTTGCAATATTAAAAAGGAGGCCCCAGCATTACAAAGCTCGCCCGTAACATGCCAATTGGAACATAAAACATTGATTTGCATTAACGTGGTTTTGCGAATTAAGGGCTCAACATCTGGCGAGTCCAATAACATAAACAAGTTGTTCAAAGTTGAGATAGCATCTGGGCGCAAGGGTGAAATGTCGTTGAATACGTGGCGGTATTCCCTGGGTGTGGTTAGCATACAAATGTCATTGGGCAATGTATCGCTTATATGCATAAGATTGGGCATATACTTATCGCAACCGCTCAACGAATTTAGACTGTACAAGAGTCTAGTTAAGGCCTCCGAACGTCTTTCGTTACTGTTGTGAAAAAGAAAAACAATATTTCCTTGTAAGACGCTAACATAAGGCAAACGTCTAGAGTCGGGATCATATAGTTTTAGCAACAACTCGAGTATCTTTTTGGAAAAAGTACAACAGCCGAGTAGAGGTTGAATGGGAAGCAAAGTGGGAAGGAATGTGCTCCATTTAGAACCAAATAATGATTGGGACTGCAGCAACAGTTCTATTATTTTAAAACAACAACTTTGTATTTTTTCTTCAGCACTTTCAAAGCCATTGTATAGTAAATGTAACAATAAATTTGTATTCATGGGTATGCCAATAATACCTGCAGCTAATAAGCAGCCGTTTTCGCATTCCTTAATGTACCTTTCGCCGTTCATTAAACAACCAATGTGGCGCTTGAAGGCGTTTGTCAGTTTCTCATAAAGATAGATTTTTAAAGGCAGGAAAGACATATTAAGAAGTTTAATAAGAAGCTGCACCGCTTTCGATTTTAATTCTTCGTTGTTTAAATATTTGGGTATAGCATCAAGTATGTTCCTAAATATTATGTCCAACAATTTTTTAGATTGTACTTTATCCAACATTAACATAATGCTATATCCGGTTTTAATTATATGCTCTGCAGATAAGTTCAAAGCTGAATCGGCGATTATCAAATTGACGGCTTGTCGTAAGGATGTCTCATATTTATCCAAAAGCTGGTATTTATCATTCAATGATTTTTTGTTTTTCAATAATATTTCACGTAATCGCATGTAACGTTCAGGATATAAGCATTTTATGGAATAATCTCTTAAAATTGGCTCGTATAACTCAACTGATTTAAGGGGGTTAATTTGATTATTAATATATGCCACATCCTGCAAAAGAAATAGAATTTGCATCTGTTGCAAACGAGGTCGGGTACATTGCTCTGTTACAGTATACTGCAAGCAAAGTTTTTCTAATATTCCTGCAAGCATTCGTAAAGGTTCTTCGGCAATCTGTTGCTTTATGAGAATATGTAAACTCAATATTTTGTATATAATTTCCCACATCATAATTGAGTCATTACTATTCTCTTCCCAATAAGCTATGCACGATACAAAAATCTGAGTTAAAGCTTTATCAACCCGTAATTGAGATGGCTTTATCATAGCACTATCATCGATATTACTTGTCGCGTAAGGAAAATTCAATGTTTTCTTCCTGAATTTCAAACGTAATTCAAGTACATGGAGAAATTCATATAAAGTTGTTGCGGCCACTTCGGGAGAGAAGCCGGTACCTTGTTGTTTAGTGAATACTTGCAGTAAATGACGAAATATGTGTGGGGTCTGCAACATATATTCAGCAGGGTAATCTTTCATAGTCAACTGTAAATGCTGCAGTGCATGTTTTAGTTCCAAATTTGTAGAGGACGGATTTTTCAAAATATCAGCCATTAGTTTTAGTGCATTGTAGTCACTTATAGTTGGACTACTCCACGGAACTTCATAATCATCGAGACTATAAACCTCTTCTTCCTCTCGGCTTTTTATATTCTCATATTGTAAGCTTAGTCTTTTGGTAGCCCTCATTAAATCTTCCATTTCTTCGCCTTCTTTATTTTCTAGTCTATTGTTTTCACAGGTTTTAAGGAAATCAATAATTTCTTGTACAACTTGCAAATCTTCGTTTTGTTTTTCCAACAAAATTTTTATTTTTCGACACTCCTTTCTTAAACGATCTGCTCCCATTTTCTGGATAATTTTGTCCCCTAAACTTTCGGACTGCAGCAACGATTTTAGCAATTTTAAAACTTTTAACTGGCTCCTAATGGGTGTGAATCCAAACCATCGTATTAGTTGTTTACATAGTTCCACGAACTTGACATCCACTTTCTCATTGAGCTCGAGCGCGCGTTCCAGTTTGCCAGATATTTGATCCAGAGCCCGCAATCGGATTTCCAAAGACTCATGAGTAAGTTTTTGCAATGTACTTCGACTGATTTGTATCATGGACATTTTCGATAGTCCTTTAAAAGCACTTTGTATAATTCTTCGTTTATTGTTTATGTTTTCAAAAAAGGTAAATTCAAACAAAACTTCGTACAAAACGAACAGTTCAAAGGAAATATTCCTTTAATTGAACCATCGGGACTGTATCTATCTTTTTCGTTCAGTTTGTTCCTATCGTTCATCTAGTACCCTTAGTACATTTAGTCTTTGATTTAAGGCATGGTAGTATAATACAGGTAACAGCAAGTGTTGATGTACAACAATCGTAACAACAACAACATACAAATTTTTTTTTGTACGTAGTACAAGTGCCAGAGTTATATGTCCAAAAATTTAAACAAAATAATTAATTTTCCATACATTATTTCAATTTCAAAAATATACATTTTTGGAATTTGGATTATTAAATTCAAAATGCAGGAGAATGCTTTTTAAAATATTTAATTTTAATGCTATCACATCAATCCCTTGAATGTATAGTTGTTAGCTGTTGGCCCTAATTTCTCAACACTTCAAGCAATCGCTAGAAAATAGTGGAAAAGGCAACTTTCCTTTCAAATTGAAACAAAACTGCGTACACACATAAAGTATTCTACATTTTGCAATTTTTGGAAACATGAAATATACGACTATGTTACCTAATGTGGTGTCGCTGCTTTTTAACCGCGAAAAAAGTTGGAGTTTTGTAGAGTACAACGGCTATTATTAGGTAAAGGGTAAACCTATTGGAAATTATCACAAAAAATCATATCGAGCATGACACTACTATTACTACAGAATCATATTAGCTGGGACTTGCTGTTACTTGTAATAATTATACCATGAGGTAGATGCATCCATGGTACAATCATGGTACAATGAAGAGAAGGTAGGTCAACTTTGAAAAAATTACAAGTATAGAGGTCTACCTGTTTGGCTTGTAATGTCAGAATTACTATCAAAACAATAAAAAAGCAAACAACTTGTTGCATTGATTTTGAATAAATAATTTAAAACCGCGAAAACTGAATGAATGGTCAAGATTTCTTTTCAATATCATGTTCTATATATCTCTTATGGTTTATTTCGCAACAAAAACTGTAGATTTTGTCGATGCATTCGTTGCAATAAGCATTTTAAAAGCACCCGAATTTGAATATTTTCTGAACAATTTTTTATTATTGATAAGAAGACACACACATAAGCAAATGAAGTTGATATATTAAGCCAGAAAAATAAAAAAATTTAAATCATATGGTAGTTCTGCCCTACCTTGAATTCATTGTACCATGGGTACAATGATATCAAGGTAGGGCAGAACTACCATATGATTTCAATTTTTTTATTTTCTTGGCCTAATACGTCATCTTTTTTGTTTATGTATGTGTTTTCTTTTCAATAACAAAAAAATTGTTCAGAAAACATTCAAATTCGGGTGTTTTCAAAATGTTCATTTCAACGCATGCATCGACAAAATCTAGAGTTTTTGTAGCGAAATAATCCTTTAGAGACATATAGTACATGATTTTGAAAAGAAGTGTTGACCTTTCATTCAGTTATCGCGGTTTTCAATTATTTATTCAAAATAAATGCAACAAGTTGTTTGATTTTTTATTGTTTTGATACTAATTCTGACATTACAAGCCAAACAGGTAGACCTCTATACTTCCAATTTTTTCAAAGTTGACCTACCTTCTCTTCATTGTACCATGGATGCATCAAAGTTTCAATTTGAAAATTGGTTTGGAAGTTAGTTGTCCTAGCAGCTGTGTTGTTGTGATTACCTGTATTCTTCTATCATGAGCCCGGCACACTTAGGGTGAGATGAAAAAAACTGCAACCAACAGCTGTTAAATTATTCCAGTGACAGCTCATTATATTGTTTACAAGCGTACAAAAGCATTTACGTGAGAATTTTCAGGAAAAAAGTTATTCGATATGGAATCCAAGCGTGATAGTGTGATTTCTTTATATTTGGCTGGAAAACCACAAGTGGCTATCGTTAGAGCACTCCAGCATTTAAATGTAAATAAATCTTTTGTGTCTCGTACCATCGCTCGTTACCGTGATATTGGTAGCGTAGCTCGCCGTCAAGGAAGTGGACGGAAGAAAGCAGCAACATCAGCAGAAATGGTTCGAAAAGTAATGAAGGTACTTGATCGAAACCCGTGTCGCAGTGGCCGAAAAATGGCACGTGAGCTGAACATATCGCAATATTCCATTCGGCAAATATTGAAAAGTGAGCTCGGGGTAAAGCCATTGAAGGTCCAAAAAGTGCAAGAAACTACACAGCAACAGAAAGAAAATAGGCTCAAAACAGCTAAAGAGTTGCTTCGCTTGGCCGAAAGTGGTGAACTGCCGAATTTGGTTTTCTCCGGTGAGAAAACATTCGTTGTTCAGCTCACAACTCAAGCGCCGGCCATCGTGAAGGTGTGGGCCGCCATAACAGCCGATGGTCGCTCTCCGCTCGTATTAATCGACCGTGGCATCAGAATAAATGCCGAATATTATCACGAACATATTCTGGAGGGTGTATTAAAGCCTTGGGCACGCAAACATTTTGACCGCAGACCTTGGACATTCCAACAGGACTCAACACCATCGCACTCAGCACCCGCCACCCAAGAATGGTTACAAAATGAGGTTCCTCGCTTCGTTTCCAGCGCACAATGGCCACCAGAATCTCCGGATACCAATCCTTTGAACTATTGTGTCTGGAGTATTTTGGAAAGCAAGGTTGACACTAAAAAATACCAAAGTGTCGATCAGCTCAAGCAAGCGCTTCGCCGGGAATGGGCCAAAATACGGCAGAGCAACATTCGGGCAGCGTGTGACGGTTTCATTGGCCGTTTAAAGACCATAATTCGTACCGAAGGTGACCAATTCGAACAAATCTAATCTTGTTCTTTGTGTACTGAATGAAAGCAAAAAAAAATGTCGGAAATAGCCTTTTTTGTTTCATTCAGCGTTCGAAAATAAACAGTACACAAAGATAGTGTACTGTACCTGTACAGTATCACTAAAAAAAATTTAGCTGTAGTGAACCGGTACGCTACCACTAAAAAATATTTTAGTGATACTGTACCGGAACACAACAATGATTGTAGTGTACCGCAGTCGGAGCACTAAAAAATCGTAGTGTTCCGGAGTCGGAACAATAAAAACCGTAGTGTTCCGCAATCGGAGCATTAAAAAATCGTTGTGTACAACATGCACCACATTAAAAAGGAATGTACTGGCATCAATGTGCATTTTAAATTTGGAAAAATATTAGATGTTTATTTTTTTGGTATAATAGCATTGATAATGAACAAAATTATTATGATGAAAGAAATTAAGGATTGTAAATTTAATATTTACATACATTATTAAGTGAAACAACATTATCTAATTGAACATCCTATCCGACTTTGCTAAATTATACAAAATTTGATATGAACATCACTGTTTGTATAAGTGGAAATTAAAGAAAAAATAAAACAACGTACTTAAATAAACATACTTAATACTCCATTATTTAGAAGTATTTAATTTTTATTACACAAATGTATTTTTTATTAAACAAGTTAAATATTATAAACATAATGTAATATAAGAAAATAAGGAAAATGTAATAAAGTAAAAATTCAACTTCACCAGTAAGAATTTTAATCTGATCCCGACTGGTAATTAAAAATTCCAATGGCTTTTACAAAACTTTGTATTTTCATTGCGTGTTTGTGTTCGATATATTTTGCATATTGCTCAGGATACAAATGTCTTCCTATAATTCCAGAATTTACACCTAAAATCCAATAACAAGATTTTAAGTTTGCAAATTACATACAACTTCGTTAACGTTTGATTCATTTGTATTGAACTTATCTAAAAGAATAATATTTTAGGTTGCGGCATTTGTGTAATTATTCACTGAACGTTTGATAAGAATTGAAAGACAGGACATTGGCATGTTTGTTACATTGTAAAAATTATTGTTCTTAAAAATAATAAGACTATCTGTACTCCGATGAGAAATTGTGACAAACTACATTGTAGATATCAGCAGAATAACCCATTAAAACGCAAACACTAAAATGGCCTTTTTCGCGTAAAATTAAAATTTTCAATGGCTAAATACAAATTATTATCACTTCAGATTTGATCCTTTTTTACTCTTTCTACCTATTCTCATAATTTTCTACTATCTTCAATTTCGCAACCAATCTCAACATACGTGACAAATAAAAATTCAACTTTTATTTTCATAATATTGAATTGTATTAGTATTTTTTTGCATTATCAAAAACATCTGCCGGTACATTATTATTTATTATTTTTTTAATGTTCCTCCATGTGGTACACTACGATTTTGTAGTGCTCCGGCTGCGGAACACTACGATTTCGTAGTGATCTGACTGCGGTACACTACGTTTTTTAGTGCTCCGACTGCGGTACAGTACGATTCTACTTGTGCTCCAGTACAGTATCACTTATATATTTTTTAAGGGTTTTGTTCCGGTACGGTACATTATCTTAGTGTACCACTCCACCTCGGAACGATACGGAACACATTTAGTGTTTTTCTTCATTTTTAAAACGAGTTAAATAGCGCGAAAAATTAATGAAATGGCTGGTAGCTCTACCTTACCTTTTTATTGCACCATAGTAGCTCTACTATACCTTTTTTATTGTACCATAGTTGTTACATATTTTTGGGTAACCAGACAGGCCTATTATTATCCAAAAGCATAGACAAATGAAGATATAGACAACGAAAAGTTAGTTTTGTCTTTTTTTCCAGATGGCTCTCATCATGTTTTGCATAGTCAACATGCTGATTTACGCGTTCAAGCCACTCGACTTCGAAAACACATTTTATAGTTTTTCAAGAATTTCACTGGAATATTCTCATATTTTTCGATGTCACTACATAGTTTTCACTTGTCTTTTGTTATGAAATAATTTTCAGCTGACAAATATCCTACAGTTTTTGTTATTTTTAACATTTTTGAATTGAGTGACTTCAAAATTCCCACTCAAACCCCTGAAACGATATGGACGACATCTGCTGATCCGATTTTTTTCGAAGATAAACGGTGAGAGCATTTCGTTGTCTATATTTTCATTTGTCTATGGTTGTGCTACGGTGAGCTGGATTATACA